CCTAGTGCTCCACACTTTGGAGGTTTGTGGGAATCCGGAGTCAGGTCTATCAAAGGACATTTAAAACGTGTAATTGGTCAGACCATTCTAACTTTTGAAGAATTTTCTACATTACTAACTCAAGTCGAAGCTTGTGTTAACTCTCGACCTCTTACTTTGATGAACAATTCTCCTGATGAACCTCCGCTAACCCCGGGTCACTTCCTAATAGGTGGTCCTCTAATTGCTGTACCTGAGGAATCTTTACAAGAAGTAAAGCTTAACACTTTGGATCGTTGGCATATGATTCAACGGTTTATTCAATCTCTTTGGTATCGTTGGCAACTAGAGTATTTAACAACTCTCCAAAATAGATACAAATGGTCAAAAATACATCCTAATATTGAATTAGGTACTGTAGTCTTAGTGAAAGATGATAAATTATCACCTGGTAAGTGGCTTTTGGGTCAAGTTGTAGATAAACATCCAGGTGCAGATGGTACAACGCGAGTTGTTACACTTAGATATAAAAACAGTTTCTTTAAGAGACCTGTAGCCAAGTTGTGCCCTCTGCCACTGAATAAGTAAATTTGTTAATTTTTTCTAACAGTTATGTAGTAATTTGATTTCTATCATCTCACTTTGTGTTACATGTTTACTAGATTGTGAAGGACTATAGTAGTCCTTGGGTGGCGGAATGTTTAATTAATAACTGGTATATAAACTCTTTGTTGGCCCTTTATACAAAAAAAGAAAAGTAATGTTTTTATCTGACACTTTCGATTGTGACGTTCTTGTACAAAATTAATAAACACATTCAAGATCAAGATTCGACTTTATTTTTGTCATTCAGTTTCTTTAAAAATATTATCTTTACAGAGAAAAGAATTTTAAAAGAAACGGGACAAAGAGAGGCTGGTAGCAGAGCGTGGTTGGGTAAATAAATTAATTAAATCTTGTAACAAACTCATCTTTTTTCGTTCTTCCGATCCTTCGAATAAATCGCTTAGTACTTTATACATTTCATAAGCAGTCGTACAATCAAATAGTTGTGTTTTATATTTTTTCGATACTGTTTGAAGGATGATGTGCTTAGTCAAAGCATCTTTATTCGATTGTTCGCTTTCTAGTTTTATATTTACGTTGTCTATATATTGTATCAATCCTTTCGCTTCCAGCAGAATCCTTAATTCGAATTTCCATAACTGAAATAATGTTACATCATCTAAAATAGTGACTCGGTGAATTTCTTCTGCTGTTGCGACGGCCATTTTCAGATTGAAATTTTTCTTTTTACTTTTACTTTTTACTTTTAATATATTTTTTTATTTCTTACTATATTTTATTTATTTTACGCGCAGAAACGCAAAAAAGAACTGTGGTTACATTAAAAAACAATAATAGTCGGGTTTGTTAAAAACCTCTTTGGTTCAATGGCAGTCCCAGCAGCGGCTGTCAATATAAAATAAAAAATAATAGAAGAATAAAAAAAAGACTGACTACCTTTTATCTTAGATACTATGAATATCGACTGAACTTGCTAACTGATTAATATTAACTAGTGTAGGTAACCAAAATCCGGGTCCTGGTCTTCCTTAATACTGATTCCAGCGTTGCTTAAAACCGGTGAGTGTTATTACCAATTTCCTATATTAGGCCAGCTCAACTAATATAATTACATAGGTAAAACCGAAATCATTAATAACCTATTAAATAATATTAGAAGGGCCAATTTAAAAGTACCCGTAACCGACGAGCGTGTATGACAAGATTGATGAATGTGGAAGAAGCGAAAGAGGTTTGTTTGAATCGAAGCATTTGGCGTTCCATTGTTTCTGCCTACCCTAATAGGAGACAGGCGTGACAGATATGTATGTATGTATGTATGTAAATAATATTTATATTAGTAATAGGTGGGTACTAGTTGTAATAATCTAAGGAGATTAGTAATTTTTAACCGGAATATAAAAGGGGGAACTTATTAATTTCACTGTGTATTTTTTTTCTAAAACCCGTATTCCTTTAGAAAAAAAAGTTCTGCTTTACTTTTTTTTTTATTATACCACTGAGGTGTTAGTTATAAACGCTTGCAATAGAGGTATTACGCGCGCGTCGCCGACTCTGAAGAAACCTTTTTACCCCCTGTTCTGAAGAACCCCATGCTGTAGTCTCTTGGGAAAACCTCGGCAGGGAGCTCATTCCATAACCTGAGTGTTATGAGTAGGCTAAAAATTATGTTAAAGTTTAGATTTTTTCATGTACACGTAAAATTGGGACATTTTACGTTTGTTTTGCCAATGAAACACATTTTCACCTTTTAAAGGATGGACACTAATTTCTATATTAAATTAAAATCATCTTTGTTCAAATAAACTTGCTTACAAGCATTTTTAAATCGTTATTTTTAAGAATACAGTGTTTTCAAAGTTGTTGTCTGTTGAAAAGAGCTCGTAAGAAACTCAACAGTTAATCTTTTTAACCCTGTAGAAGTACATTTTTTTTTTATACAACTTAGAATAGTAAACAAGCTGACTGCCCACCTGATGTAAAGTGGTAACCGTCGCCTATAGACATGAGCAGTACCATGGACATAACAGAGTATACTGTTTCGCCCACGATACCCCCCATGCGTTGCCATTCCTGAGGACTCAGGTGTTATTCCTCTGTACCCTGTAAATTCACACCATATCCCACCCTTCAAACCGAAACACAGCCATGTAAACACAACTGCTTCACGGTTGAAACACGAATGGGACAGAGGTACCCAAGCAATCGACTTTTGTACAAATTCTCCCTCTGGTATATACATATATGTATGTAATATCTCTATAAGTAGATAAAATATTAGTTTAATCCAAGCAATATCCACGAAGTAAACGAGTCACTAATTGCTTCTGGGAGTGGGGGCCGTCTTATGTACACTACATACATGGATTATGGATAATGGACTTCACCAACTCAAATATTAGGGTTGTACACTAGCAAAAATAGATGGATAGTGAGTACGTATGGTACGGACCATCCCTACTAATATTATAAATGTGATAGTGAGTTTGTTTGTTACCTTATAGCGTCTTGACGGTTTAACCATTCACTATGTAATTTAGTATATACGTATTATATGGGGTGATGAAGGACATAGGCTATTTTTTATCTCGGTCATTAAACGTATCTTGGTCACACGGACGAGATGCGGGTAAAAGGTTGTCATCTATAAATTTTTCTAGGTTTATAGATACTTAAATAAGTATCTATTGTATGAAGATTTCAAAATAATTTAAATTTTTCCATTTTTAAACCGACTTCAAAAAGAAAGACGTTTTTAATTCAGTCAGTTGTAAATCTATTTGGATTTTTTTATCTGAACGGATATTTTTTTTTGCAACACAGGGGGCAAACGAGCATGCGGCTCACCTGATGGTAAGTGACTACCGCCGCCCATGATCACCCACAACACCTACGGCATCGCAGGTGTGCTGCCGGACTTTTAAAAAGGAATATGCTCTTTTCTTGATATACTTAAAAATAGGTTCCATAGAAGTTTTATCGAAATCGATTCAGTAGTTTAGTTTTTAAATCAAAATAACTTTTACCACAAATCATGTTACGAGTATATAGTGGATATTTTTTTTTTTATTTGCAACTTAGAATAGCCAATGAGCTGATGGCCCATTTGATGGAAAATATTAACCGTCGTCTATCCATACATACAATAAAATCGTAACTGATCGCTGTCTGTACATGGATATTTTTTTTTATACAACTTAGAATGGCAACCAAGCTGACGGCTCATCTGATGGAAAGTGGTAACCGTCGCCTATACACATAACGGAGTATACTGTTTCGCCCATGATACCCCCATGCGTTGCTATTCCTTAGGACTCAGGTGTTATTCCTCTGTACCCTGTAAATTCACCCCATATCCCATCCATCAAACGGAAAGACAGCCATGTAAACACAACTGCTTCACGGTTGAAATAAGAATGGGACAGAGGTATCCAAGCAAACGACTTTTGTACAAAGTCTCCCTCTGGTAAATATACAAGATAATATATAAGAAATACTATTATAGCGTGGCTTTATGAACATGAAATACATTTATGAAATGTAATAGCACCCAAAATAATTATTCCTAGAATGTTTATCTATTTGTCTGTATGTTTGTACATTTGTACACGTTAATCTCAGAAACGGCTTAAACGATTTGAATGCAGTTTGCTCCACTTAACATTGTATGTTTTATTTCTATAAAAACATAAATAAAAACTTACATCAGTGTAAAGAATCACATATAATCAATGTAATAAAATAACCGATCAGTTGAATTGGCTGAAACTTTATGAAGGTATTATGTAAAATGCAGTAAGTTTAAAATTACGAAAAACGGGTTTTTACTATAAATTTTTTAAATAACTTTGAAAAGGTAAAGTTTTCATTTCACTTATATACCTTTTGTAAATTATATTATATTTCAAACAATTCTAAAGCAATTTTGATAATTATTTTTGAAGTTGACGAAAACTTACACTTGCCTTCTATATGATTTTTTTACGATTGAAGTTATTAGTTCTTTTTACGTCACTTCCTTCAGTTTGTTCTTTTTTTTTATACAACTTAGAATGGCAAACAAGCTGACGGCCCACCTGATGGAAATTGGTAACCGTCACCTATAGACATGAGCAGTACCATGGACATAACAGAGTATAATGTTTCGCTCATGATACCCCCCATGCGTTGCCGTTCCTCAGGACTCAGGTGTTATTCCTCTGTATCCAGTAAATTCACGCCATATCCCACCCTTCAAACCGAAACGCAGCCATGCAAACACAACTGCTTCACGGTAGTAACATGAATGGGACAGAGGTACTCAAACAATCGACTTTTGTACAAAGTCTCCTTCTGTTTGTAATATTATTAAAAACAAATTGTCATTGTCATATCAGTCTATAACTCTCTACTGCTGGACATAAATTTCCCTCTAGTGGAAGGATCGCCATATTTAAAAAATAAAACTAAAGAAATTAGAAGTAAATGCGTTTAATAGTAAATTTAAAATTACAAATGTTAATCCGTACAAATGGTCAAGTAAATGTTACGATAAGTACAAAAACTGTATTATGTTACGAGAACACTTATACCTACTCTTCTAGTTTCAGGTTTTAATCTGTAATAGGCACCTCCTGTGAAAGTTTTTTTTTGTACAACACAGGGGGCAAACGAGCATGCGGCTCACCTGACGGTAAGTGACTAACGCCGCCCTTGATTACCCGCAACACTAACAGCATTGCATGCATGTGTGCTGCCGGCCTTTTGAAAAGGAATATGCTGTTTTCTTTAAGGTTATGTAGTCGTATCGATTCGGAAATACTGCTGCTGGAAGTTGATTCCAAATAGTGGTTGTGCGTGGAAGGAAGTGCCTTGAAAAACGCACAGTGGAGGACCGCCACTCGTCCAGACGGTTGGGAAAGTGTGTTGTAATTAACGGTAAATTCCAAACTACACCTAGTTTTGACTACCACTAATCTGAACATAATAACAGAGTAAAGTTTTAAGCGAAATTTTATTATATATTAAGCCTAAATAGTTATAATATACATTTAATACTTTATTTTTTTCATTAAGAAACGAAACATCCATTAAAAAACAAAATTGCGTATAGTTCAGTCTAACTTTTATTATTAATATTAAATATTGAAATAAATAAGCAATAATAATAATAATACCTCGATTATTTGAATAAATACTTCTAATATTCAATGCCGTAGCTGTGAACTGAGAGATCTCCTAAAATATCAATGCCCTTCTATTTTTAGTAAATCTTTAAACAATGTGAATACAAGTGGAGCCATTCTAAGAACATTTTAAAGAGTTGGAAGCGCTAGTGTAGCCCCCAAAAGACCAAGGCCCCACCGCATTGCCATCTGCAAGTCATCAGCTATGTCATTGTATCTAGTTATCCTTAATTTAGTTGCCCCTATTTATTTGTTATCCAACGCTTGATACCACGCCTGACATGTCTCGGAGGCAATTTCGCAAAGAGCTGAAAGCGCTTTGCCAGTAGAGTCATATTCTGCGAAAAGATATAAATTACTTTTTTTTATATATATATATTTTTTATACAACTTAGAATGGCAAACAAGCTGACGGCCCACCTGATGGAAAGTGGTAATCGTCGCCTATAGACATGAGCAGTACCATGGACACAACAGAGTATACTGTTTCGCCCATGATACCCCCCCATGCGTTGCCATTCCTGAGGACTCAGGTGTTATTCCTCTGTACCCAGTCAATTCACATCAACGGAAACAACTGGTTTATTATCATCATAATAAATTTTATCACGTAGTGGGGAAGGGATTGTTAATATTAGAGTCTAACGGCTCTATTGCTGGCAATGTATCCTATCATGTCGACCTTTACAACCTTTAGGCGGTTCTCTCTGGAAATCATCGTATTTCATTTTTGTGGAATTCATCGCGATGGCCTAACTGACCTATTTTCATCTTCACCCCTTATCTTCCACTGGCTGATGATTCCCCGGTCTATATAGATACTGCAGGAGGGGTTGTCATTTCATTTGCACCCATAAAAAATATTATGACGCCAAATTATTAGATGCCTAATCTTTGGTCATAGGAAAAGGACCATAATATTATTATGTCATGATGAGTAGTCGATTTGGCATTAGATTCTATGGTTAAACAAGCTGTATCCCGTGGCTTCGCCCGCGTGAATCAGTATATATACGGATGTAGTCAGTATGTTAAGAAAGGCTTTAATCTATCCATGTACAAAATGTCATTCAAATCCATTTATTTCATAAACACAACACATTCAATGCTTAAAATAGTAAAATTCTTTTAATATTATGTACTAACCAATGTTGTTTCTTTTCCCGAAGATCGACCCGTTAAAAGGAGGCTTCTTGTAGTTAGCCTCAATGGTGTGCAAGAGGCACAAGAAGACGGCTACAAGGCCAAAGACAATTAGGGAACGCATCTTGGAGTCCTGGAAAATAAAAGAAAATTTATGTATTTTTTACTTGAAAGTAAACGAAGCTGTGTAAACTCCTTCTTCTGTGTGCAAGGTTAGATCATTAATGCTATATTTAAACTACGTCTAATATTGTAGTATTAAAATTAGGTGATAAGAGATCTTATTTACTACTACTATTTTCTCTATCATCGTCATCGTCGTCATCGTATCAACTGTTAACTGTTTGTTAGTGAACATAGGCCTCCCCTATAAGGGAGGATTTTGTCAGTAGTTGCCATGCTTGGAAGGCGGGTTTTTTTATGGATGAAAATGGTATGGTAACCCCGCCTGCGTTAACGGGATACGCTGGCGGAGCACCAGTGAAGGGTGATAGATGAGAATGAAAACAGGCCAGTTAGCCCATCATGATGAATTCATCAGGAATTAACCATGATAGTTTCCAGGGGGAACCGCGAAGAGGTCAACCTGGTTGGGTATATTGCTAGCAATGGGATTCTGTCTCCATTACTAACAATTCCTTTCCTCCCTGGAAGGCGAGTTAGCAACTACAGTCAGGCTTTGGTGATGTTTCAATAGGAGCGCTGCTATTCATATCTTAGCCGCCTCTTACGACACATATAAAGACAGGGGTGACCCATTCTATCCGGGATCATAAGAGGAGTAGTCGTATCTATGCGATATTAAAATATAGCAATGATTATACTAATAATTTGGCGCTCTAGACAAATAGCAAGCGAATCTACTAGTGCAATTGTTACGGATAGCCAGTCTTTGAGACAGAATGAAATGGTAACGTCTCTTACGATCACGATTCTGTTATTAAAAAACACTTATTGAACAAAGCCTATTACACACTAAACGATGACAAATGTGCATGGTGTTAGTGGATCATGCGCGGGCTTTTAACGACCGTGTAATTTTATACATAGTACATTTAAACAAATACATATAATGTTAACAGAGATTTAAAAGAGTAACTGTTGAGTTTCTTACGGGCTCTTCTCGACAGATAACAACCTTTCGAACCTTGTAGTAGATTAAAAAACATGATTTAAAAGTGCTTGTAAACGTATTTATTTGAATAAAGATGATTTGAATTTTACTTTGAAAATTCTATCGACGGATTCGTCTGCCGTTTGTCAGGAGGTCAGAAATAAGAACGACCTACACTTGTCTATTTGATGTTTTGAAGTCTTTTTTAATAAACCAATCCTTAAAATGAGCCCTTAACGTAATTTAAACGTCTTAGACACAAATATAACTTTTTTATAAATTAAATTTGTACAAACAAATAAAAACAGATATTTTTCATTGAAAATTTAACATAAACTTACTAGAAACTGTTAATTATTACAAACTTTTACACTGCTGTGATACGTAGCACAACGTTGGTGTAAAATCCCAACTGATACCATATTCCGTTAATGCTCCTGCTTTTATACCTCTTCTAAATCATTTTTGCAGGCAATATCGGTATTTCTTATACGATGTAATTCGATCGAGTATCTCTATTAAACGAAGAATGGATGGGATATTTTCTTTTATTTATTGAGTTACTGCACTTTGCAACTGGGAGTAGTAGGGATGAGTAGAGGTTAATTTAGTTGATTGATTGAAAACATAGACATAGTACAACGTACTTTTTGATAATAATGATGGAAACTGGGTATGGGTAATATGGAAACCTGATATCTACATATTGGATTTCTCTGCACATTGATAGAGGAAAATCCGCCATTTTGATTCAAATTTTAAAATGTCATTGTAAGTCAAAATTTTAAAATGTCTTCTCTATCGGATATTGTAACTGAAATATATAGATGAATTTTAGGAATAATAGAATTGCTTGGGTGTCTCTGTTCTGAGCCTGGCAACTGTAGCTACCTATTTTTAATAGAGAGAGAGAGAATTCTAGTAACGGGGTTTAACGGGTTCATTATCAGCATCACTATCATATCAGATGTTAACTATCCATTGCTGAACGTAAGCCTGTCTTATAAAGAGGAGAGGTAAGGGTGTGAAGTAAGAGGTATATGGTATGTTAACGCGTCTAAAGCTCATACTTAGCGAGTCAAGGCGCGCAGTCAGGTTAGCGCTGGCGTCACAACCGCTCACGATTAAAGGTCTCGAACGATCCTGAAACTAGACAAGCTTTTTCAACCTAATTACACCTAAGTAATTATATATATATATAGTAACAACAATAAGTTAATAACAATGTTAGCTTAATATATTGTATACTTACAAAACTTTTAACTATAAAAAAGAGATATAATACACAGTTTTACACAGATGAAGTTGCGGACATCAGCTAGTATACTATTACATTTATCTTTAAGAAAACAAACCAACACTCCATATATTGCCTGTTAATAGTATGCACTAACCAAGTTATAATCCTATGGGATTTGTTCATAATACTATCAATATGCGGTCAACATCCAATAATCCGTTAATCGAACTACTGATGGACGGACATTTTCCCAGTTCCCTCCAGTGAGTATAAAATGGCGGGAATATCGTATCCTTGCATCAGTTGTCTGTCAGCTTTCAGCAGTGTTACCACTAGAAGGAGACTACCCACAGACAAAGGTATTTTTGAAATTATTTTTCGTATAGTACAAAAATGAAGAAAGTAGTTTCACTATTCATTTTTAATGTTTTGTGCATTACTATTCCAAAAATTTTCAATAAAAATTAAAAGTAGTAAAACACTCTAGTTTTGACGATCACTCTACCTATTTTTTTTTAATAATTAAAACTAGTCAACTGAACTGAAATTGTAAAAGCTGATATGCAAAAAATTGGTAAAGAGTGAGTTTACTCACTCGCTGTGGATTCCGTACATAAAATAATCTCTAAAAACTTTTTCTTTAAGTAAAAAATCATTATTATTATTTATATATAAGATTATTACATGAATATGTTTTAAATTTGCCATTACTTCAAAAATACATTGAAGCACCAAGAGAAATAAAACTAATGGTTAACTACAAGAGGAATATAAACGTATTAAAAGGTCGCATTACTTTAAAACTAGCTGTCTCAATGACTATGTTCGAATAACCATGATAAAAAGTAGTGCATATTTCTCTTTGCCAAATTTCATAATGATTAGACTAGTCGTTAATGCGGTGACAAGTAACAAAAAAATAAAAAATTCACATTCATTTTATCCGTTTAATTATTTATTTCAAAACGACCTTTTCTTTTATTACTTTTATTGCATTTATTTTAGATGGTTGCAAACATGCTGAGGTTTACAGTGGCGATTATCTGCGCCATCATTGTAATTTTGTCACTTGCCGGCGTCAGCGAGGCTAACTACAAAAATGCACCAATGAACGGCATCATGTTCGGCAAAAGAGGACCTTCTGGTGAGATAAAAATGTTTCTATATATTCACTTTTGGAAAGCGATCTAGGGAGATAGCAGTCGAACTAAACAACTAAATCGAACATTATGAAACGTGTATAGAAACTTTTTACTTTTAATTGGAAATCATGATTAGGAAAAAATTCTAAAGTTTTGTGTTATTCAGTATTCTTCTGGTAGACTGAGGGTATGTATGTATCTACATATAAAGTATAGAGCGGTGGCCATCTTATCTTTACTAATATTAGAAATGTGAGAGTTTGTTTGTTATCTATTAACGTCATAACGCCTTAGTAATAATAAGTAGCTTAATAATAATAATAGCGCGGGAAAAAGCTAGTAATATATTTCCCCTGTGATGAATTTTCAAGTATTTTTGTGTTGTTCGAAGTTTCTTTACATCAATAATAAATCTCGACAGTATATTATTTTAACGAATGGATTGTTGTGATTGTTACTATTATTGTTAGTTGAAAATAAATATGTCTTAAACATTTTGTCACTTGTTTCTAAAATACTTCATTGTCTTTCAGAATACGATTCCCGGGGAAAAACTTTCACGGCGTTGTGTGAGATTGCCACAGAAGCTTGCCAAGCTTGGTTCCCGTCTCAAGAAAATAAGTGAAATTGAGAAGTTAGTAAAACAAGAACATTTTAATGACAAAAGCATTCATAATGGACTGAGAGTCGATTAATGTAAATTTTTATATTTAGGTACCTAAAGTAAATAAGGGTATTGCATAGATTATTTCACATAATATAGTAAAATTAGTGGATTGTTTGGTTGATTTTTTTTTAAAGTAATGGGTTATATACTTTTGCCTGCGTACATTTTTATTGTAATTTGAGGTATATCTGAATTTACGCTATAGCAACATTACAATCTACCTTATGCAAAACAGTTTAATAGATATTTATCAATTATTTATAGGCTGGATTACGTAATAAATGCTATGTTATGTAATAATGTGTTGTAATTAAATACTGTAGAATTATTCAGTTGTTTTTATTCAAAGAGTCCAACATTATAAACTAAAAACGGAATGTGTATTGACCTACTTCTGAATATTTTGATATGGCAGCACACGTGGGAATTTAAAGATAACACTTTCCCTGCTTTCAACATTGTTTTATGTTTTTATGTTCATATCAGATTCTTAATAGAATTTATCGTTTCCTATTGGAAACCGGAAAACTTACATTACAACTTACAGAATTATTGTCTTTAATTTTTTTTATCTGCGGAAATATTACCTACATACAATGATAAAACAGCTGATAACACTGAATCAAAATGTCAATAACAATGCAGTGACGTTTTGCATCGGGAAATTAGCAATTTCGAATCTACCTTATTTTTGTTTCTAAAATGGATTTTCAAAGTTCTGAACTCGTGGTGAAATAATATGTCCATTAATTTAATTTAATAAATATAATTATTAATAAAATTGAATCAAAATGACAACGAAAGAGCTTTACACAAAGGTAATTTATGAATGATTATTTCATGCTAGTATGTTGTGCTGTGATATTTTAATTTTCAAATTTAGAATATTAGATGTTTGTATCAAATTTATCGTCATCTATAACTTTTTAATTTTTACATCGTGTATTGAGACAAATATATGATCATCTATAAATGCTGACCCATAAGATATCTAAATGATTATAGCACTTTTACTATCTATGTCACTATGCTTGAAGTGATTACATTACCCACCTCCTTATGAATTATTTAATACTATTTTACGGGTCTTTAATTAAATGCATATTCATATAATTTACTATGTATCATGTTAATTAAATGTAGTATTTATTATAATTATAATAACATTAGTATTTTAAAAAAGTATTAATTATGTAAACTTAAATATTTATATTAATTTTGTATAACAAGACACAATGTTATTAGAATGACTTAAATATAATCTTATTTGTAATTGCATCGTCTTTAAATTTTTTATTTTATATGTCCTCGGTAAGTATTATTGGCATATATAAAATTATTTTCTGGAGGGTGCTTGACTTCTCATTGTGTAATCTTTGTGTTGGTGGTGGGCACCAGACAAATCTGAGGTGGGCACATCCCAACTGGCCCCTCTTTAAATGTGCCTATGATAAGTATCATTGAACTAATGGTCATTCTATTTGTGGTGTGTGTTATTTTGGATTTACCTTTTAATAAATTCAAAACTCTTATTTAAAACATGTAACAACCAAAAGTTACTGACATAGGCTGCAGGGTAAGCAAGCTGAAGTGGCAATGGGCTGGCTACATAGGTTGACGAACCGATAACCGATAGGGAAGACAGGTTCTTGAATGGGGACCCCATATGGGCAAATGCAATGTAGAACGACCCTTCCATTAAATGGAATGACAACCTCAAATGCATTGAAGGGAGTCAGTGGTTGCAGGTGGCTTAGGACTGTTCCGTGGCAGTCTATGCACTGGCCGATACTTACACACTAAACAATTACTCAATAATAAATGTGCATGGTGTGTTAGTCCATCATGCAAGGGCTTTTGCAATGATCATTATATTTTATACATAATATTTTTATTTCATTTTAAATAAATATACACAATGTTAGTAGAGGTTCATAAGGATAACTGTTGAGTTTCTTGGGAAATCCTTCTCAGCAGATAACAGCATCCCAAACACAGCAGTAAGATCTTGAATATGAAGATTTAAATGTTAGAAACATAAGTTTTTTTGAATAAAGACACCTTGAATTTGAATTAGATTATTCTGTACCCCATAATATTACAGGACGCCCAAGTGTGGGTGGAGAATCCGGATACAGTATGGGAGAGTGCAACAGTGGTAGCAGACTTCCGTTCAGGAGTGCTGATAGTCAAACTCGACCAGTCCGGAGAGATACGGCAAATAAAGGTAAATATATAATGAATCGGATGGCCGTACCTGGGGAAGAGGGGGGCCTTGAGTGGCAGTGCGTCACCTTAAATGGTCCAATGCCTTGCCTTAAAATGAAAGGCTCCAGAAAAATTTTTTTTAATGGATGATGAATGGAGTGATGTCCCCGCCTGTGCTAATGGTATACGCTGGCGGAGCACCAGTGAGAGATGATAGGTGAATAATGAAAAAAAGCAGGTCAGTCAGCCCATCGTGATTAATACACCTGAAACTCAGCAGGATGGTTTCCAGGGGGAACCGCGTGGAGGTCGACCTGACAGGATATATTGTTAGCAATGCGACTGGTAGCCCGCATTACTAAAGATCCCTTCCCCTCACTCCAAGAAAATTAGATAGATTCACATTTTCAAAATCATTTAATTATGGCTTCTGCCCTACCAAAAAGTTCTTTTGCCCTACCTTAAACTTGGGTCTAGTTATGGTCGTGATGAATTAAAATCGTACTGAGTAGAACTCAGTTAATCCTCTAAGTTATATAAAAAAAAAGTATATTATGCTATAAATCTCCTTGTAACATCTCTAAAAGCCTAACTGAGGTTGCCAGGGGGGAAAGGGATTGTTAGTAATGGAGATTGAGAATCCTATTGCTAGCAATATACCCAACCAGGTCGACCTCCTCGCGGTTCTTCCTAGAAACTATCATGGTTAATTCCTGATGAATTCATCATGATGGGCTAACTGGCCTGTTTTCATTCTCATCTATCACCCTTCACTGGGGCTCCACCAGCATATCCCGTAACCATACCATTTTCACCCATCAATAAAAAAAACTGTGGTTGCCAATCCACCTGTCAAGCGTGGCAACTACTGGCAAAATTCCTCTTATGGAAAAGGCTTATGTTCAGCAGTGGACAGTTAAAGGCTGAAGTGGTGATGAATGATGGTGCTGAATAAAAAAAAAATTGTTAATTGTAAATATGCCCAGAGACGTTGTTTTTTGATGAACTATTCTATAGTAAAAAAAATATATCTCTGTATCCTGTAATTTCACTGTAATACCCTACCCTTTAAACTGAAATACAGCAATGTAAGCACAGCTAATACTTCAACAAGTTTTTTTTTTATTTATTTATTTTTTTCTAAACAGTTACATTTTTTTTTCTTTAGATCACAGATGAGAAGCAAATGCCCCCACTGAGAAATCCATCACTGCTGATTGGCCAAAATGATCTCACGTCACTATCATACCTTCATGAGCCAGCCGTGCTGCATAACCTTAAAGTCAGGTGAGTTTAAGTAAATTTTTCTAATACCATAAAAGTGGCAAATAAGCACACTGCCCGTCTGATGGTAAACGGTCACTGTAGCTTATGGACGCCTGCAACACTAGCGGTGTCACGTGCGCGTTGCTGACCCTGAAGAAACCTTAATACGTCTTTGATCGCTGGATATAATCCAGCATTGTGATTTATTCTTAGAATGAGCCCTTTCTTTCTGGGCCCTTGACATTAGACTGTAAAGGGTCCAGAGAGAAAAGGATCTTTATGGATGATAATGGAATATCCTCGGTACTTGAGAGTGGATGAAAATAGGTGAGAGAAGAATTTTCCAAATCGGTTTACAACTGACGGAGGTATGAGGTAAGAAAAATAAAAATTGAGAATCTCCTTCTTTTTTAAGTTGGTTAAAAATTACAAAAGACACGACGTTAATCGTTTGCGGAGGGCTTAATGAATTGTCTTCACGCTCGAATCTCGGTCGAATAAGAATTTAATTTACTAGTGGTCGCCGAGTGGTGGAAATTCGACCATAGCATATATTGTAATAAATGTATTTATTATGGTCACGTATGACATTCAGTGAGACTATAGACAAATAATATTAACAGACAAACAATATTAATCTATTCTCAATTCGACCACAGACTTTAACTATAAACAAAAGAGTATATATACATGCGTGTGTGTGTCAAATACATGGTAGTGTGTGTAATGTTTTTTTTTTATTGTTTAAATGTATTTTTTATGTACAATTTAAAAAAAAATATTATCATTTTTCACTCCTTCTCTATATAAACTATAAGTGTGCCAAATTTCATACTTCTCTGTCTGCGCAATTTTCGTAACAAGGGGTACAAAGTTTTTGATTCACGTATTAATATATAAATTACAATATATGTATATAAATTGTATGTAAACGATTCCGTTTTTGTTCATCTGTTTATTGAATTAACATGTAATGAGTCATGTACCGATAAAGTTGCTACATTCTCTATCGACGATGTCGAGTAGGTATTATGCGACTGCTTTATATTGATCACTACGAGATTCCTCGAAATCATGTCCTGCCGGTTTTTTTTTTAATAAATAATAACGGTATGGTAACTCCACCTGCGCTAACGGTATACGCTAGCGGGGTACAAGTGAGTGATGATAGATGAGGATGAAAAGGCGGGTCCAATAACCCATCATGATGAATTCACTTGGAACTGAGGCTTAACTCTTTAGTCCTCAGGAATGTATACTCGCGAAATACTATACTCTGTTATGTCCACGGTACTGCTCGTGTCTATAGGCGACGGTTACCACTTTCCATCAGGAGGGCCGTCAGCTTGTTTGCTATTCAAGATGCATAAAAAATAAATAAAAAAAATTCTCACCTCTGTAACATTGAGATAATTACAGAGCAGAGTTGCTCTGTGATGATCTATATATAGGTATATATATACACACTCATAATTTCGTCAGTTATTAAATAATTTGGATAAATTCTTTTTTTTTTATTTAAAAGGATATACTTATAGATTGGTTCCATATCCATTATGAAAATGGCTTCAGTGATTGAGTTTTGAACTCGAAATAGTCATTTTGTTGGTTTTGCCATAACTGAAGTCGATTTTTATTATGAAACACAATCTTTATCTTATTATGGTAGAAATAAAAAAAAAAAAAACAGTGACAGGTCATAATTTTCCGTTACAACTTTTTTACTATTTTGAAATTCGAACCTAGCGTGACGGATGCAATTTTTCGTTATAATTTTTTTACAAATTTGAAATTCGAATCTAGCGTGACGGATGCTAATTCGTACACTTATACCTGCGTTAAATGCTCGCCACCTGTACAAACATACAATTATCAGTTCCAAACCAGTCTTCAACAGAAATGGTAGGAAAAGGTCATCAGAGTAATATACATGACGTCACCGTGATGATGATGAGATAATAAGGAATATTTAGTAAAAAAAAACACTGATTTTAGATTTAAATTTAAATCTTTTTTTTTATTTTTTTTTTTTATAAATTAAGATATGAATGAAAAATATACTGTGAATACCTATAATAGGCGTGTGCATTAATATTGTATTGTATTTAATGTTTGTTATACCTATATGTTATAATGCAATATGCTGTTGGTGTTCCTTTAAATGAAAGTTTAAATTTACTGAAACACGACGTAGTGACAAAAATCGAAAAAGTAATGTTGCGTTGGTTTGGTCATTTGGAGAGGACGGATGAAACAAGAATTATGAAAGAGATTTATCGAGCACGAATGAATGGAGATGTCGGTAGGGGCCGCCCTAGACGGACGTATGTCGACCAAATAGGCGACGTGCTGAAGAAGGGCCAAATTAAAAGTACCCGTAACCGGCGAGCGTGTATGAAAAGATTGATGAATGTGGAGGGCTTCCTCCACATTCATCAATCTTTTCATACACGCTTGAAAGAGGTCTGTTTGAATCGAAGCATTTGGCGTTCCATTGTTTCTGCCTACCCTAATGGTAGACAGTCGTGACACATATGTATGTATGTATGTTCCTTTAAATAAATAAATAAATAAGATTGTGTTACAAAAAATCTACTTCAATTGTAACAAAACTAGTTATTTTGATCTAAAAATTTAATTACTGAACCGATTTTGATGGAATTTCTATTGCACCAATTTCAAAGTAAGTATATTCTTTGCCAGAAGTTGTAAGCCAGTATTGTCTTGCAAGTAGTTGCCGCGCTCGGCAGGCGGATTGGCAACCGCAGTTAGGCTTTGGAGATGTTTTAAGAGGGACGCTGCTGTCCATCCCTGGCCCTCCCTTAGTCATCTCTTACGACACCCACAGGAAAGGAAGGGGTGGCCTATTCTATGCCGGGACCACATGGCCAACGGGATATATCTGTTGCTATAAAATTTTAATTTATTCACAGGTTCTGCGACCGTAACGCCATCTACACGTACTGTGGCATCGTGCTGGTTGCAATTAATCCTTACTACGATTTACCCATTTACGGTAAGTATTTTTTTTTTAATACATAAATATGGAATGGTATCCCCGCCTGCGTTATCGGTATATGCTGGCGGGGCACCAGTGAGGGATGATAGGTAAGGATGAAAAGGTAGGTCAGGTTTCTTTTTGATGGGTGAAAATGGTATGGTAACCCCGCCTGCGCTAACGGGATACGCTGGCGGAGCACCAGTGAAGGGTGATAGATGAGAATGAAAACAGGCCAGTTAGCCCATCATGATGAATTTGTCAGGAATTAACCATGATAGTTTCCAGGGAGAACCGTGAGAAGGTCGACCTGGTTGGGTATATTGCTAGCAATGGGATTCTCAGTCTCCATTACTAACAATCCCTTTCCCCTTAACGTAGGTCAGTTAGCACTCACTCATCAAAAAAAAAAAAACAATACCGCGGGAAACTGCTAGTTTTTAATAAAAATTATTATTAAAAAAGATAAGTGTTATCAACAGACATACCTACAGCGGATATTGTACATCCTAAATGCTTTTAATGAATAATCCATACATACAATATTTACAAATCACTACACAGTATAAAACAAAGTCGATTCCCGTCTGCCTTGTATTTTTATACAACTTAGAATGGCAAGCAAGCTGACGGCCCACGTGATGGAAAGTGGCAACCGTCGCCTATAGACATGAGCAGTACCATGGACATAACAGGGTATACTGTTTCGCCCATGATACCTCCCATGCGTTACCATTCCTGAGGACTTAGGTGTTATTCCTCTGTGCCCAGTAAATTCACGCCATATCTCACCCTTCAAACCGAAACACAGCCATGCAAACACAACTGCTTCACAGTAGAAACACGAATGGGACAGAGGTACTCAAGCAAACGACTTTTGTACAAAGTCTCCCTCTGGTACTCTTCCTGTCCACGTGTATGCTTAGATTTTTAAAACTACGCAACGGATTTTGAAGCGGTTCTTTTTAATAGATAGAGTAATTCAAGAGGAAGGTTTATATGTACAATACATGCATAATATAGTAGAAGAACACTGATAATTTTAGAGATTTCTAATGTGATGTGATGTAATGTGCATCCGTTCGAAGCCGGGGCGGGTCGCTAGTAATATTATAAAAAGGAAAGATTTTGTATTTAATGGATAAACAAAAATAAAACTGGCCGTGTGATGGGTATCGTAAGTGGCGAATAAAGAAATTAAACGGTCGAGGGATGGGCAGCAGCGTTCCTCTTAAAATATCTCTAAAGCCGAACTGCGGTTTTTTTTAATGGGTGATGATAGGAAAGGGATTGTTAGTAATGGAGACTGAGAATCCTATTGCTAGCAATATACCCAACCAGGTCGACCTCCTCGCGGTTCTCCCTGGAAACTATCATGGTTAATTCCTGGTGAATTCATCATGATGGGCTAACTGGCCTGTTTTCATTCTCATCTATCACCCTTCACTGGTGCTCCGCCGGCGTATCCCGTTAGCACAGGCGGGGTTACCATACCATTTTCACCCATCAAAAAAAAATGGGTGATGATGGAATGGTAACCCTGCCTGCTCTATCGGTATACACTGGGGGGGGGGGGGGCACCAGTGAGTGATGATAGATAAGGATGAAGCAGGTCAGTTAGCCCATTGTGACGAATTCAACAAAAATTATTCCAAATGGTTTCCACGGGGAACTACGTGGAGGTCGACCTGGTAAGGTATGTTGGTAGCAATGGGGTTGTCAAACCCAATTACTAACAATCCCTTTCCCCCCGCCTAGCTGAGGTTGCCAACACGTCTGCCAATTTGGCAACTACTGATGGAAATCTGAGGACTGTGTTCATTTTGTTATGGAAAGGGCGAGGAATGAGCAGCAGCGTCCTTTTTAAAACATCTCTAAAGCCTAACTGCGGTTGCCAATCAGCCTGCCAAATACTGGCAACTACTGGCAAAACCCCCCAAAGGGGAGGCCTATGTTCAGGAGTTGACAGTTAAAGGCTGATATAATGATGATGATATCTGAATGATGATGATGATGAATCATCACCATTGATTTCGATAATTGATGTCTCATAAAACAATATCAATTGACAGGAGATGAAACAATCATGGCGTACCGCGGACAGTCCATGGGGGACTTGGACCCCCATATCTTCGCTGTATCCGAAGAGGCCTACACAAAACTGGAGAGGGAGACCAGGGATCAGAGTATCATAGGTGAGTGAGACTAGACATCGTTTTAGATGAGCAAGCTAATTTAAACCTAATTGCTTAGTAAATTAGGGTTACAAATTCAATAGAGATCTCTTAAAAAATACAATACAATCTTTCCTGTAAGAAAGAGAGTGGGGGGGGGGGGGTCATAGTCAGTGTTAACCATTATATATACACACGAATATAAAAAAAATTACATCTTGCATCTTAGAAGGAGAAGGGGGAGGTGGAGGAGAACTTAGAACGGCATAGCTGACGGCCCTCATAGTGTCAACCATGACTAATATATATATAAATATAAAAAAAATATCTTTCATCTCAGAAGGAGCGGGGGGAGGAGAATTTAGAACGGCAAACAAACTCATGGACAGTGTTAACCATCACGTAAACAAGGATAGTTCCATTATGTAGGGTTTTTTATGTTACTTAGAATGGCAAACAAGCTGACAGTCCACCTGATCGAAAGTGGTAACCGTCGCCTATAGACATGAGCAGTACCATGGACATAACAGAGTATACTGTTTCGCCCATGATACCCCCCATGCGTTGCCATTCCTGAGTACTCAGGTGTTATTCCTCTGTACCCAGTAAATTCACGCCATATCGCACCCTTCAAGCCGAAACATAGCCATGCAAACACTACTGCTTCACGGTTGAAACACGAATGGGACAGAGGTACCCAAGCAATCGACTTTTGTACAAATAATACTGAATAACTTTTACGAACAGTGAGTGGAGAGTCAGGTGCGGGCAAGACAGTATCGGCAAAGTACGCGATGAGATATTTCGCGGCGGTGGGGGGGAATGCGAGCGAGACGCAAGTGGAGAGGAAGGTGCTCGCGTCCAGCCCTATCATGGAGGTGAGTAATGCTGATGATGATCCATCATCATGGTCATTTGATTGCCTTTGTTTTATTTATACTAGGTACCTACTTACTACTACATATATACTATATACTCCTTCCTTCTATCTTACCTTCTATTATAATGTTCATAAGTCTGTCGTGTCATATCAAGTGTTCTAACATTTTTACCCTTCTGTCCTCAATAGTTCTTATAATTTGTCTCTTTTCCTTAACCCTAAGCAGGATCTCCTCATTGCTAATTCGATCTCTCCAGCTAATTTTCTCCATCCTTCTCCAGCACCACATTTCAAAGGCTCTATGTTTATCCATTTCTTTCTGAGTTAATGTCCATGTCTCACATCATAAAAAAATATATAATGGAATTTAGAACTTTCTTTATGAGAAAAGATAACCTTAATTTCATTGTTAGATTATTCGTCGGCAAACACACGGATGGAGCTTCTGTTGATGCATAACTCTACTCCAAGTGCATACATGGTCAAAAGTTGCATTTGGAGGAGTGGTTGGTGGACGATGTTCCTCTTCACTAGGACAGCCAACCTGTGATACACCCTTCGGTCGTCCGTGAGCTCTTCTATTCCGGAATGTAAAGTTTGTCGACGGTCCCTAGCACTGTCTCGGAGATGAGACTCACGTCGACTTTGTAATTTAGAACTTTCTTTATGAAAAAAACATAATCTTAATTTCCAGGCAATAGGCAATGCGAAAACAACTAGGAACGACAACTCGTCGCGCTTCGGCAAGTTCATAGAAATACACTTCGACAACCAGTACCGGATCTCGGGCGCGAGCATGCGCACGTACCTGCTGGAGAAGAGCCGCGTGGTGTACCAGAGCGCCGGCGAGAGGAACTACCACGTCTTCTACCAGCTGTGCGCCGCCGCACAACACATGCCCGAGCTGCTCTTAGGTATGGAACCGTTTTTTTTTATTGGATGACAATGGAATGGTAACCCCGCCTGCGCTAATTGTATATACAGGCGGGGCACCAGTGAGGGATGATAGATTAGAATGAAAACAGGCCAGTTAGCCCATCATGATGAATTCATCAGGAGATAACCATGATAGTTTCCATTCCGCATGAAGATCGACCTGATCGGGATATTGCTAGCAGTGAGATTCTCAATCTCCATTACTAACAATCCCTTCCCCCTCTCTCATAGACTGTCCTAAGGAACAGCCCCGAGGACAGGAGTATCCACTGACTTCCTGCAATGCATTTGAGGTTGTCACTCCATTTAGTGGGGGATCATCCTACACTGCGTTTGCCCATACAGGGTCGCCGCTCAAGAACCTTTCTTCCCCAACGGTTGTCGGTTCTTCGAGCTATTTGACCAGCCCATTGCCACTTCAGCTTGCTTATCCTTTGGGCTATGTCGGTGACTTTGTTTTTTTTGCGGATATCCTCATTTCGGATTCTACCACGCAAAGAAACTCCGAGCATATCATGATCAAGCGTAGGTAGATTTTTTTGCTGTTGGATTTAAATATACAAATATTGTTTTATCTAATTGTATTAACATAATTTTTACTCCCAAATATATTTCTTAGTTGTTAAGTACACATAGTTTACTAAATTTACCACTAGATGGCGCTGTTTAATATTTATGATGTTGTTTTAAATTTCAGATCACCAGGACACGTTCCACTATTTGAACCAAGGCGGCAGTCCTAACATTGACGGAGTGGACGATTTGAAAGCATTCAATGAGACTAGAAACGCTCTAACCACGTTAGGTAAGTTATACATACATACATCTGAATCCTCAGGAATGGCAACGCATGGGGGGAATCAAAGGGCGAAACAGTATACTCTGTTATGTCCATGGTACTACTCATCTCTATAGGCGACGGTTACCACTTTCCATTAGGTGGACCGTTAGCTTGTTTGCCATTCTAAGTTGTATAAAAAAAAACAGAAAATGGGTCAACTCTTCCTTTCCCAACTAAGGGAATTCATTAATTGAAGTTATGGTCGAGGGATGGACAGCAGCATCCCTTTTAAAACATCACCAAAACCTAACTGGTGTCGTCAATCCGCCTGCCAAGCGTGAAAACTAGTGGCAATATCTCTAAGGGAGGCCTATGTCCAGGAGTGGATGGCTAATAGTAATCATCATATCTGATGATGATGAAAACAGACAAATATTATGCGTGTGTGTATCGCAACAACACAAAAAAGCCAAAACTTTGTATGTGGCTTTGTTTGCTCTTATCTCTGAAACCGCCAGCCGTATTTAGAAAGTTCTTTATGTATTTGATAGTATATTTTCCGGGTAAGGTATATTCAATGTCACGGTACGAACACGGGCGAAGCCGCGGGATACAGCTAGATTCAATTTGCAATCCGCAGGAGTGTCGGAGACGGAGCAGCAGAACATGTTCACGGTGCTGGCGTGCATCCTCCACCTGGGCAACATCGAGCTGACCACCTGCGACCCGGACCCTGGCGACGGCACCCAGAGCGAGGACGGCGCATACATTAACGTAAGACTAGTACAGAGTAGAGTAGACTAGGGTGGAGCGGAATAGACTAGGGTGGAGCAGAATAGACTAGGGTGGAGCGGAATAGACTAGGGTGGAGCGGAATAGACTAGGGTGGAGCGGAATAGACTAGGGTGGAGCGGAATAGACTAGGGTGGAGCGGAATAGACTAGGGTGGAGCGGAATAGACTAGGGTGGAGCGGAATAGACTAGGGTGGAGCGGAATAGACTAGGTTGGAGCGGAATAGACTAGGTTGGAGCGGAATAGACTAGGTTGGAGCGGAATAGACTAGGGTGGAGCGGAATAGACTAGGGTGGAGCGGAATAGACTAGGGTGGAGCGGAATAGACTAGGGTGGAGCGGAATAGACTAAGGTGGAGCGGAACAGACTACGGTGGAGCGGAACAGACTAGGGTGGAGCGGAACAGACTAGGATGGAGCGGAATAGACTAGGGTGGAGCGGAACAGACTAGGGTGGAGCGGAATAGACTAGGGTGGAGCGGATTAGACTAGGGTGGAGCGGAACAGACTAGGGTGGAGCGGAACAGACTAGGGTGGAGCGGAACAGACTAGGGTGGAGCGGAATAGACTAGGGTGGAGCGGAATAGACTAGGGTGGAGCGGAACAGACTAGGCTGGAGCGGAATAGACTAGGCTGGAGCGGATTAGACTAGGGTGGAGCGGAACAGACTAGGGTGGAGCGGAACAGACTAGGGTGGAGCGGAACAGACTAGGGTGGAGCGGAACAGACTAGGGTGGAGCGGAACAGACTAGGGTGGAACGGAACAGACTAGGGTGGAGCGGAACAGACTAGGGTGGAGCGGAACAGACTAGGGTGGAGCGGAACAGACTAGGGTGGAGCGGAACAGACTAGGGTGGAGCGGAACAGACTAGGGTGGAGCGGAACAGACTAGGGTGGAGCGGAACAGACTAGGGTGGAGCGGAACAGACTAGGGTGGAGCGGAACAGACTAGGGTGGAGCGGAACAGACTAGGGTGGAGCGGAACAGACTAGGGTGGAGCGGAACAGACTAGGGTGGAGCGGAACAGACTAGGGTGGAGCGGAACAGACTAGGGTGGAGCGGAACAGACTAGGGTGGAGCGGAACAGACTAGGGTGGAGCGGAACAGACTAGGGTGGAGCGGAACAGACTAGGGTGGAGCGGAACAGACTAGGGTGGAGCGGAACAGACTAGGGTGGAGCGGAATAGACTAGGGTGGAGCGGAATAGACTAGGGGGTAGAGTGGAATAGACTAGGGGGTGGAGTGGTTAGACTAGGGTAGAGTAGAATAGAGTAAAATAGCGTACAATAAAGTATTATAGAATATAGTACGAGGGTCAAACTGAAAGTCCTTAAAAAATCAAAAACTGATTAAATTAGCAAGTCTTTCCCTTTATTTTAACTTTTCAGAATAGTGTCCATTCACGTCAATACATCGCTGCATCCGATAGAACCACCGAGAAAAGCACTTTGTCCACTCGTCCTTAGGGATCTCTTCGACGGCCTTCTGAAACGTAGCCAAGCTACCTCGGCGTCCATAGAACGTTTTCCTCGGAGTTTTTCTTTTATTTTTCGGAATAAATAAAAATCGCAAGGTGCGAGGTCGGGGCTATAAGGCGGATGACCCAGTAGTTCTACGTCTGAGGTCGCCAAATAATCGATCGTTTGTCTGGCGGTGTGTGACGAAGCATTGTCGTGGTGAAGGAGGATCCTACTGCGAGGTCGTTTCTCACGTACTTTTTCCAAAACACGTGGCAAACGATTGTTACTGTACCACTCTGCAGTAACTGTTTTTCGATCCTCTAAAACAATTGTCGCGTAATGACTTGTCCTTCCAAAGAACGAGGCCACCATCTTTTTTCCCACGCTTCGACCTCTCTTCACTTTAGTTGGCAACTCCTCGGAAGGAAACACCCACTGAGCTGACTGTCTTTTAGTTTCGAGATCATAATAGTAAATCCAGCTGTCATCTCCCGTAACTATGTCAAACACAGAATTTGAGTCACCTCCGTTAAGTCTTTCATGCATTTCACGGCAACAATCAACACAACGGAGTTTTTGAGCCTCGGTCAAATTATGGGGTATCCACCAGGTACAAAGTTTCCTGACAGCCAAATGTTCATGGAGGATTTTGTGCACTTGACTCATACCGATCCCTAAGCTTGCCCGGATCTGCTGATAGGTCAATCTTTTGTTAGTCTCTATCATACGCCGCACAACACTGATGTTATCTTCAGTCGTCGCCGTAGAAGGCCGACCCTGACGCACATCATCGGTGAGATTAGTGCGAGCACGTTTAAACTCATTAAACCAGTTGTAAACAGTGGCACGAGACGGGGCTTCATCGTAAAGGCCAATCGGGGTCCAGGGATCGGCTTCATCTTCTTGGTTCTCATGCACGCGAGCTATAAGTTCGCGTGCGTACGGTTTGAAGTGCGTCTGACTGGGACCATCTTAAGGCGCCAGGCCCTTAAGGTAGTCCCAGTCCGATGCGTCTACTCGCGTGAACATCTTGGTAGCCAGGCTGCCGATAAATTCATCCAGCAGAAGGATCCGTAGGTTTCTCTCCAGGGTAGCACTCCTCACGTACTTATGTGCGTCAGCAATCGTACGCAGAGTGAGGCCCGGCAAGAATGTATTGCAATGATTCTGCAATACGTTCTTGCCGGACTTAGGCAGCGTGATAACTTTGCCTATCTTCCATGGGTCTGCTAAATATCCTGTGCGCACAATACCGTTGTACAGGCGCGTCAGTGCCGGTATGGTGCGCGGCGACGCAGTGTTGTATTAGAGATATTGTCGTTGCCTGGAGCTTTCCAAGGTTTCGTTTTTCTGATTTCTTTACTTGTTCCGGCGTAAACACTACCGGGTCTTCGTGCGGTGTCAGAGGTGATACCAGGTAGTATTTGACGAATTTGTCGATCCTTGCAACATGTGCAATATCAATGCAGGTTGGGATGGAACTGGCGTTCCAGATAGTTCGCGTGGATTTTTGCATGGTCTGCTGTGGGTGGGCTTTCTCCGTTCCGCGCTAGTACTCTCTAATGTCTCTCTTTTAAGAGGGACGCTGCTATTCAACTCTCGCCCACCCTTAATTGCCTTTTAAGACACCTACGGCAAAGGAAGGGGTGGTCCATTCTAAGTCGGGGCACGTACGGCGAATGTACAGATAACGTTTGTCGTGGTCGGCGGCAGGGCGGCGACAAGCACCTGGCGGCCACGAGCGCGCTGCTGGGCGTGGCGGCGGGCGAGCTGGCGCGCTGGCTGACGCACCGGCGCATCGCGTCGGCGCGCGAGGTGATCGTGGCGCGGCTGGACGCGGCGCGCGCGGCGGCGGCGCGCGACGCGCTCGCCAAGCGCATGTACGGCGAGCTGTTCGCGTGGCTCGTGCGCGCCGTCAACCGCGCCCTCCACACTGGACACGCCAAGAAGCATTTCATTGGTCGGTTTCGTTTTATTTTAAGGGAGCGAGTGCAGAAGAAAGTGTGTCAGAAAGAGATTGAGTGCAAAAAAAGAGCAAACAACCGTGAGAGCGAGTGAGAACGACAGTCAGTGAGAAAGAGTATGTATGACTGTGCGTATGTGTATGAAAGAAAGCGTATGTGTATATGAAAGAAAATGTATGGATATGTGAGAAAGAATGTTTGTGTGTATGAGAGAAAATGTACGTATGTGTAAGAACGAGTATATGTAAGTGAGAAAAAGTGTATGTGTGTGTGAAAGAGAACGCATGTGTTTGTAAGAGAGAAATAATATATGTATGTGACAAAGAGTGTATTTGTGTAAGAGAAAATGTATCTGTGAGAAAGAGAGTGTAAGTGTATGAAAGAAAATGTATGTGTATAAGAGAAAATGTATGTGTGTATGAGAGAAAATGTATGTGTGTGTAAGAAAAAGTATATGTACGTGAGATAAAGTGTCTGTATGTGTGAAAGAGAGCGCACGTGTTTATGAGAGAGAAATAATATATGTATGTGAGAAAGAGTGTATTTGTGTGAGAGAAAGTGTATCTGTGAGAAAAGAGTGCAAGTGTATGACAGAGAGTGTATGTGTAAGGGAGAGTGTCTTTGACAAAGCTCTCTTCTAATTCTTTTCATTCTTCTGTACTATAAATGCTTTTATAAAAAGCCGATTTTTATTTCTATGGCAGGCGTGTTGGACATATACGGGTTCGAAACCTTCGAAATCAACTCGTTCGAGCAGTTCTGCATCAACTACGCGAACGAGAAGCTACAGCAACAATTCAATTCGCATGTCTTCAAGTTAGAGCAGGATGAGTATATTAAGGTATGCAGCTGTCTCTGTCGTTGGCTATCAACTTGGCCAAAGCTATCTATTATTTACTGTGTCCTGTTACATCTGTCCGTTCATCTGCCAGTCTATACATCCATCTTTTCTATAAAAAAAAAAAAAATCTGTCCGTCTGTCCGTCCATCTTTAGAAGCATTACTAGGATAATAATATTAATGACGTTACTATCTATAACAGGAGGAGATCTCGTGGAAGATGATCGACTTCTACGACAACCAGCCGTGTATAGACCTGATCGAGGACAAGCTGGGCGTGCTGGCACTGCTGGACGAGGAGTGCCGCGTGCCGCAGGGCTCTGATCAGGGCTTCGTGTCCAAGCTGCACGACAAGTGCGCCAAGTACCAGCACTTCACGAAGCCACGCTTCGGACGCTCTGGTCAGTTGATCGCCAATTTACACTGAAGACGCCCACGTGCGAAATAAATATATAAAGAAAGATATCGTAAAAAATAATCATTAGCTTGAATTTTTTTTTATGCAACTTTGAATCACAAATAAACTGACGGCCCACCTGATGGAAAGTGGTAACCGTCGCCTATAGACATGAGCAGTAACATGAACATAACAGAGTATACTGTTTCGCCCAAGACACCCCCCATGCGTTGCTATTCCTGAGGACTTAGGTGTTATTCCTTTGTACTCTGTAAATTCACTGCCCTATTCCACCCTTCAAACTGAAATACAGCTATGCAAATACGACTGTTTTACAGTTGAAACACGAATTGGCAAAAATTTAATGGACAGAGGTGTCTAAGCAAACGAATTTTGTACAAAGCCTCTCTATGGGAGTATTATATGGTTTGTTACTCAATTTTTTTATACCACTTAGGTGGCAAACAAGCATACGGCCCACCTGATGGTAAGCGGTTACCGTAGCCTAAGAATCCTGCAATACCAGGGGTATTACGCGCGCGTTGCCGACCCTGAATGAACCTTTTTACCTCCCCTTTTCTTGAAGAACCCCCTGCTGTAATCTCTAGGAAAAATCTCGACAGGGAGTTCATTCTATAAACTGAGCGTTCGTGGGAGAAAACATCTCTGAAACCGCGTTGTATGCGACCATTTAGGCTGTAGGGTATGAGGCTGAACTTCCTGTCGGTAGGGAGCTGTACGATGGTAAAAATTAGTCGTGGGCATCATATTTTTACCCCTTAAATTAATGGGTAAATAATGAATTTGTGTGAATACAAACTACTAAGCAGTATTAGATTATTAAATTTAAAATGTACAGTATATAATTATAATAATTAGAGTTTTTTTTTACAACAACGGGCGAACGGCTCACCTGATGGTAAGTGACTACCGCCGCCCATGATCACCCACAACACCAGTTGCATTGCAGGTGTACTGCCGGCCTTTGAAAAAGGAATATACTCTTTTCTTGAAGGTTATGTTGTCGTATTGGTTCGGAAATACTGCTGCTGGAAGTTGATTCCAAAGAATGGTAGTGCGTGGTAGAAAGTGCCTTGAAAAACGCACGGTGGAAGACCGCCACTCGTCCAGATGATTGGGATGAAACTTTAGTTTGTGGCGGGTTGTGCGGTGGTGAAAATTAGCAGCAGGTATCAATCTGAACAATTCCTCAGAACACTACCCATGATAAATTCGGTAGAAGATGCACAGAGATGCGACGTCTCTGCGCAGTTTCAGTGGGTCAAGTCGGACAGTAAGGCGTTGAGTCACGTTATGAGGTTGTAATAATCTTGCGAGAAGCAAATCCTTAATCTTAATGTACCTTCCGCAGCATTTATAATAAAACACTTCGCGGACCACGTGGAGTACCAATCAGGCGGTTTCCTGGAGAAGAATCGGGACACGGTCTCCGAGGAGCAGCTGGAGTGTATAAAGTCGGCGACCAGCTGCCGCCTCATCCACACCATGTTCGCTGACCAGGCCGACCAGACGGCCACCCTACCGCCACCTTCGAGGAGGAGGCAGCCCAACATGCCAATTGGCAGTCTCACAGTAAATATCGTAGTCTATATTTCCTTATCATCATCATTATTGCATTATCATAATTTCATAATCACTACCATCACCATTTATTGTCACCATCTTATTACCCCACTATAATGATCTTATCATCATCACAATCATCTTATCATAAGATGATATCATTTTATCGCCATAATTATAATAATCATCATAATTATTTTATCATCATCATCATCATATTACAAGAGAAAGAGAAAAAATCACCACAGTCAAATTACGGTTGCCAAGAATGGCAACTACTGGCAAAACCGTCCCTTTTAGAAAGGGAGGCCTATATTTAGCAGTGGTCAGTGAACGGCTGATATGCTGGTGACGATGTTAACCGTGATCCTCGGCAGCAACCAGCCAAGCGGCAGTCGGCGCAGAAGCAGACGGTGGGCTCGCAGTTCCGGCAGTCGCTGTCGGCGCTGATGGCGACACTGTCGGCCACCACGCCGCACTACGTGCGCTGCATCAAGCCCAACGACACCAAGCGCCCGTTCATGTTCGACCCGGCGCGGGCCGTGCACCAGCTCAGGTACTCTGCTGTTAATTTTTTTTATAAGTGTTAATGGAATGGTAACCCCACCCGTTCTATCGGTATACACCGGCGGGGCATCAGTGAAGGATGATAAGTGAGGACGAAGCACGTCAGTTAGCCCATCGTGATGAATTTAACAAGAATTGTTTACGATAGTTTCCAGGGGGAACCACGTGGAGGTCGACCTAATAGGGCATATTGCTAGCAATGGGGCTGTCAAAATCTATTGCCAACTATCCTATTCCCCCCACTCTGCTGTTATTGCATTCATATATAATAACACCACGCCTGTCTACCCTGGGGGATAAGGATTGTTAGTAATGGGGTCTAATTGAGGCTATCAGGCTGACCTCCACGCGGTTCCCTCTGGTCTAAACTATCGTGACTAATTTATCATTGAATTCGTCACGATGGGCTAACTGACCTGCCTTTTCATCCTCACCTATCATCCTTCACTGGTGCTCCGCCGGTGTATACCGATAGCGCGGGCGGGGTTATCATTTCATTATCACCCATTAAAAAAAAATCTATCCGCCCTTCATATGCTTTCTGTTTTTACCCAATAGACCTGCTGTTTATTTTTAAATTTACTCTTCAATTGAGCAGAGAACGGTAGACGCATGTTTTGTATACTATGCCATTCCAGAATTGCCAGGTGCTAGTAGGCGACGCTTTCCAAAGATATGTTTTTTAATATGCAACTTAGAATGGCAAACAAGCTGACGGCCCACGTGATGGAAAGTGGTAACCAGCGCCTATAGAAATGAGCAATACCATGGACATAACAGAGTATGCTGTTTCGCCCATGATAACTGCCATGCGTTGCCATTCCTGACGACTAAGGTGTTAATGCCTCTGTACCCTGCAAATTCACTACTATATCCCACCCTTCAAACCGAAACACAGCCATGCAAACACAACTGCTTCACGGTAGAAACACGAATGGGACAGAGGCAACTCTGTCCAAGCAGGCCATCGAATTTTGTACAAAGTCTCTTTGTGGTAAAGTTTTAGATATTCCTTTATTAAGGGGTTTGCCCCCTCTATCCCTTATTTAGAAAATGAATATACCAATGGATACTGATGTAATTCGACAGGGCATGCGGCGTGCTGGAGACCATCAGGATATCAGCTGCTGGTTTCCCATCACGATGGTTGTATCAAGATTTCTTTCATAGGTGAGTGTTAGATTTAATGTTACTAAGCTTTTATATATTTAATGTTTGTTATATATGTGTAGGGACACCGTTAAGCGGTGGAAATACGTTTGTCCTTGCTTCTGATTATGAGGATGAATCGATTACATTATTTAAGAAGGTACGTGCACTTGCACTTGAAGGAATCTTATGCGGCGCACTGCTTTTCACCTTTGACTGGATACTGTTATAGATGCTCGATTGGTAGGCCTACACAAATATCTTTAAATACACAATATTTTATCTTTAATATGATGATCTCCTAGTTCACTGTTCGGTTATATGCTCTTGATTCGCGACGGTACGTGATCTCAAGCCGAGTGCAAGGACGAGTTCACTAACTGCCCTCCAACTTAATAATAATGTAATCGCTTCATATCCGCGAGGTGTGGACATTCGATTAAAAATCGAATAATCGATCCATTGAAGCGCCGTTTGGGACGATACAATATGTTATAATGCAATATGTTGTTGGTGTTCCTTGAAATAAATAAATAAAAAGTATATCCTTTCAAGTAAAGTAGAATTTTCCAAATCTGTTTACAACTGACGGAGTTATGAGGTTAACAGACAAACAAATACAACCGAATTAAGAAGGATATTCTTTTTCAAGTCAATCGAAGTACTGGTGTATGTTTAATCTGGAGATATATATATCTTATATATAAAATTCTCGTGTCGCGGTGTTTGTTACCAAACTCCTCCGAAACGACTTTACTGATATTTATGAAATTTTGTGTGCGTATTGGGTAGGTCTGAGAATCGGCCAACATCTATTTTTCATACCCGTCAATGATAAGGGTGACCCACCCCAAATTTTGTTTTTTTGTTTTTTCGACAATTTTTTTATTATTATTTTATTATAATTTAGCATTGAAAAATATATACAACTTTAAATTTTCATCGTTTTACGATCAACTCCAGTATTTTAATTGCGATTTTTATATTTCGCAATAAGTGGTAAAACAATGTTCACGGGGTCAGCTAGTATATATATATAACATATTCGCAGGTATCGCTTATTGTGCGCCCACAAAGACGTCGATCGTACCGACATCAAGGGCACGTGTGGTCGGATACTGGCCAAGCATCTCAAGGATCCAGACAAGTATCAGTTCGGAGCAAGCAAGATATTCTTCAGGGCTGGACAGGCAAGTCTCTGTACAGTAAAATTGTCTCTCATCTCTTAGGTCCCTCTTAAACATTTCTAAAGTCTGACTGCGATTGCCTATCCGCCTGCCAATCGTGGCATCTATTGGAAAAACCGTATACTGCTGGTAATAGAGTCGCTAATACCCATTACTAACAATCCCTTTTCCCCCCCGGATTCATTGGTGCTGTTGTGGCATAGGTTGCGTACCTGGAGAAGATCCGCGCGGACATCCAGCGGCTGTGCTGCGTGCGAGTGCAGAGCTGCGTGCGGCGGTTCGTGGCGCGCCGCAAGTACCAGCGGCTGACGGCCGCGCTGCGCGGCCTGCAGGCCAGGGCGCGTGGCTGCCTCGCCAGACGGTTAGTAGGGGTGCGGCCACTGGGGGCTGCGGGGTCATGGGGGCTACCGGGCACTGGGGGCTACCGGGCACTGGGGGTTGCGGGGCACTGGGGCTGCGGGGCACTGGGGGCTACGGGGCACTGGGGGTTGCGGGTCACCGGGGGCTGGGAGTCACTGGGGGCTTTTTCACCCATTAAGGATGAAAATGGAATGGTAACTTCGCCTGCGATATCGGTATACACCGACGAGGTACCAGTAGAAGATGATAGGTGAAAACGGATGCAGGTCATTTAACCCATCTTAATGAATTCTACTAGAATTAACCACGATGGCTTCCAGGGGGAACCGCGTGGAGATCGACCTGAGAGGGTATATTGCTAGCAATGGGGCTATTAGACCTCATCACTAACAATCCCATTCCCCCCGGTCAGTGGGGCTGTAGGGCACTGGGAGCTGTAGATGACTGAGGGCCGCGGGTTACTAGGGGCTGTAGGTCACTGGAGTCTGTAGGTCATTGAGAGGTTCTGATCATTGGGAGCTACAAGTTACTAGGGCTTCAGATCTAAAGATTTATGAATAGATGAACCTGGATTGGTAACGCCATCTGTGCTATCGGTATACGCTGCCGGGACAGTAGTGAGGGATGATAGGTAAGAATGCAGAAAAAGGCAGGTCAGTTAGCCCATCTTAATGAATGCTCTTGAATTCAGCACGACGGTTTCCAGGAGGAACCGCGAAGAGTTGGACTTGACAGGGTGGGTACATTACTAGCAATGGAACTAGTAGTCTATTTTACTTTTTAATAAATTCAATTGGAATAGAACGCGATACTTTCCTAGGGGAACCGCGGGGAGGTCAACTTGACAAGGTATATTGTATAATAGCAAAGGTAGTCTCATTGCTAGCATTACACCTAGCTAATCCCTATTATTGACAAACCCTTCTCCCCCCATATGGGGGCATCCATTAATTACGTGAGCTCAGAATAGGGGGGGAGGGGTCTAATGAATTCTCACCAAATCTCATTTAAACCGAGGGGGGGCGGATAATCAAAAATCTCACGTCAACTTCAAAAAATATAAAATGTTAAAGATATTACTAAGATATTAAAGATAAATGTAGACGTTTCCAGTGATTGTCTTCCTGCACTACTAGAAATCCCAGATGATATGTGTCCAATTATTTCGATTGAAAAAATACACGAGTCTCCATGGATTGAGTAAAAATTTAAAAGAAAGTTTGTTTTTATGTTTTTACTTTGAATTTTATTTAATTTAAATAAATTAATTATAGTATACCTGAACGATTTATTATTTTCCCAAATAATAAATATAAATTAAGGTTAAAATATTTTTTGCGTCAATCTCACGTAAGGGGGGGGGGGGGGTCAAGGCAAATCTCACTAAATCTCACCTAAGGGGGGGAAGGAGTCTAAACTGATCGAAAAAGAGCTCACGTAATTAATGGATGCCCCCTATCAATACAATTGTCTCACGGTGTTTATTACTAACAGTAAAGCGCAAGAGATCCGTCGCAACCGGGCAGCGATCAAGATCCAGAGGAACGTGCGCGGATGGCTCGCGAGGGTCAAGTACCAGAGGCTGAGGAGGCTGGCCATCGGTCTGCAGGCGCACGCCAGGGGATACCTCGCCAGGAGGCTGTATAGAGACTGGAGGAGGGTCAGAGCGGTGAGTGGAATAACTGGTAGCCTAAGATCCCATGCATGGTGATATATCCTATGCATGGGATCATACGGAGACATTACTAATAATCTCTTTCCCCCATGGTGGTATGGGTTGTGTCTCCAAGTTTGTTGCTTGGTTCCTCATATCATCAAGCCAGGATATCCTGTGGTATGCCATAGGGTATCCTGGCTTGAGGATCAGGCGACTAATGTGAACATGTGATACTTATAAAAAAAAATTTGCAATGTTTTTGTGTGTGTAGGTAATCACTGTACAGCGATACGCGCGAGGCTACTTGGCGAGACAGAGAGCTAAGAAAGTGAGACGGCAAATTGTCATCGCTCAAGCTGCTGTGAGTTATATTATTTCGATTTTCAAATTGTCCTGACTAGTTCTTAAAATAGCAATTTGTCGGTAGATACGTTTTCGTCACCACATGCGTAAATTCAAGTTGCTTTCACGTTGTCTCTTGCATGTGGTAGCGATAACATATCTATCGATAGACTTATATACAGTATATCAATAAGAACTAACTATGTACTTATCTGTCACGCCTATCTTCCTTTCAAACAGAAATAGCCATGCAAGCATGACTCTTTGACGGTAGAAAACACAAATGGGAAAGAGGTACCCATGCAGACGACTGAAATTACATATATAGGTCGTGTGGTCCCAGCATAGAATAGTCTACTCTCATCTTTTCCTGTAGGTGTCGTAAGAGGCGACTTACGCAGCTTAATAGTCGTGAAATGGGCTGCAGCGTCTCTTTTAAAACATCACCAAAAGTCTAACTGCTGTTGCTAACCTACCTATTAAGTTTGGTAACTACTGGTAAAAGTCCTCCGAGGCCTATGTTCAGCAGTGGACAATTAACAGGTGATATGGTAATGATAATGATGGTAGTGATGATGATGATGGTAGTGCTGATGATGAAGGTAGTGATGACAGTGATGATGATGGTAGTGACGATGATGGTAGTGCTGATGATGAGGGTAGTGATGACAGTGATGATGATGGTAATGACGATGGTGATGGTAGTGACGACGATGATGATGGTAGTGCTGATGATGAAGGTAATGATGACAGTGATGATGATGGTAATGATGAAGATGGCAATGTAGATGTTTATGGTAGTGATGATGATGATGGTAATTAGGATGATGATGATGGCAATGATGATGATAATGATGATGGTGGCGATGATGATGACATATGTTACAGATACGCCGTTTCCTCGCGCGCCGCCAATACAAACGTCTCCGCATCGAAGCCCGCAGTCTCGATCACGTGAAGAAACTGAACAAGGGTCTGGAGAACAAGATCATCAGCCTGCAACAGCGGCTGGGCGATGCACTGGAAAAGAACAAGTGTATCGAACCACTGCACACGCAGATTGCGGAGTTGAAGTGAGTAATATCCATATACGATACGGAGAAACTTGATGTGTTTTTTTTAATGGGTGATAATGGATTGGTAACTCCGCTTGCGCTATCGGTATATGCTGTCGGAGCACCAGTGAAGGATGATAAGTGAGAAAGAAAGCAGGCCTGTTAGCCCATCATCATCAGGCATCAGTATCGATCACTAATCACCGCCTGATAGTTATTTTGGTAATATATTTCATGTACAGAATTGACCTCTCTACAGATTTATTATAAGTATAGCTTTTCTCTTCTCTTATTTACATTAAATAATTTAATATTATTATTTGTTTGGAGAAACTGAACAGAGCTTTGGAGAATATGACAATGTATCAATTATTGTTTACAGGGCGAAGTTAGAGCTTCTCAAATTAGTGGAAATTGAAGTTAAAACCCTGCGTGTTGGCATCGATGATAAAGACAGCATGATTGCTGCGTTGCAAGACGAGCTAACGAGCGAGCGGGATAGCAATAGGCGGTTAACTGACGAGAAGAAGGAAATAGAACAGCAGTATAAGAAGAATAGAGAAGAATGGGAAGCGGAGAGTGAGAAGTTAGCAAACGAGTTGAGAAGCAACAAGGAACACTACGATTTGGTTATAGAAGGTAATATATATTTATTTATATGTTATCCTTACAAATATTATAAATTTGAAGGTCAGTTTGTTTGTTTGTTAGCTTTTGGTTCTTTAACGATTCGCCTAATTACCGTGAAATTTGGTGTTTCATATAATATTTGTGACGGAGAAAAGCACAGCTTGACCAAGGTCTGACTCTTGGTCAATTAACATATTCCGCCGGCTGGATTATCCATGGTGTCGTTTTCACCGGCTCTTTTTTTTATGGTTTGCGGTGCAATATTTAAGGCATCCCGTCCTCGCTATTGGATACGGGTGACGGAATACCTATACAAGAGGATACATGGTGGACGCAATTTAGACGCAAAATTTGAGGAGCACTACGGCCGGATACTGCAACAAAAAAAGAGTATGTTGTCGGCCCCCGAACTGGCGACCTCTGGTTTTCACCGGCTCTGAATCGTCGAAACCATACCTCCGCGGTTCGAAGTGATAGAGTACCATCCCCCAAAACACCATTATTCTCACGGAACGTTACTCTAGCGGATTTGCCTTTAACGAAGGAAAACTTTAAAATAGCGCGAATTTCGGCGTTAATTAGCTCCATGTTTACACGTCTATAACTGTTGGAACGCAATATCCGAACTAAACATGCATAGCGTCGTTTTGTAGGTTATATCAAGACCTTGCAAATGATGTATAGTATTGCCAGATACGAGCTCTGTAGCGCTTTGTACATAGCCGCGAAATTCATAAGACAAAAAGGCGGAAGGGAGATATTTGATAACCTATTATATTCCTGTTATGTGTACGAAGTCGCGGGGAAAACTTAGTAATTAATAAATTAAGATTCTCTACAAATGTGACAAAATTATTGTAGTATATATATTGGGTGGATAGATGGATGGACGTTGGATGTTGCCTGTAATAAATTGTATTAGGCCATTTTACTATATTTTTGAAGTAGCTGCCCGTCCCGGCTTCGCACGGGTGGACATTTTTACAACATTTTAAAAAGTGGCTATTGTGACATAACGATAATAGTTGGACATATAGTATCGCCAAGTTTTTTATAGTTATCGATATTTTCTTCAATATTGTAGAACATACTTTTGTTCTATCACCAATAGTTTCCGCAGCGCACGCGACCAAAGATATTTTATAGCATTTTTTTACACCTTGAGTTACGTTACTAGAGTTTTAGAAATCGGCAAAGTAGTTTTTGAGTTTATTCATTACAAACATACATACACACAAAAATACAAATCTTTCCTCTTTATAATATTAGTGTAGATTAGGTACTGAGGCGGTCACCAAGTAAGTTCAATCAACTTGAAAAAGAAGGCACTTCTCAATTTGTTAATTTTTTTTATGTTTGTTAGGATATATTTACAGATTGGTTCCATAAAAGAACTCATTAAAATCGGTTGAGTAGTTTAGTTTGTAGATCAAAATAACACAATTATAATGAGTCCCCCCTAAATCATCATGCGACGCGAATGCAACGGTTGCCCCTTCCCATCAGGTGAGGACGTAACCTTGTCTACCATTTTAAGTATCATAAAAAAAATTAAATGCAATGATTATCTTTACCGGTTACTTTTACCATGGATTAGCATATTTCAGATTAGATATCGCTTTAGATATGACTAGCGATTCGCCCCGATTTCGTACGGTTTTTTTTTAATGTATGATAATGAAAATGGTAACCCCACCCGCGCTATCGGTATACACCGGCGGGGCACCAGTGAAGGATGATAGGTGAGCATGAAGTTCTAATGGTAAAAGAATTTTTGAAATCGACAAAGTAGTTTTTGAGTTTATTCATTACAAACATACATACACACAAAAATACAAATCTTTCCTCTTTGTAATATTAGTGTAGATAGATAAAGCGTAGATAACATTTGTTGATAATTAAATTCAGTATCTATCTCGCCATTTACTATTGATTATGAAGAATTTCGATAAAACATTTCTATTTGAGAACATTGTTACACTAAAACGAGTTTATTGCAGAATTACATGTGTATTTTTTGTGTTATTCTTTCACTGTATCAATAAATAAATGTGTAGTGATGTAAATGATAAGAGATTAAGAGCTCGCCCTAGCGATAAGACCGCCTTTTGTACCTTTATGTATATATTTTAATCTGTACTCCACGCTACTGTATTTCACTTGAATTGTTTATATGTCATTGTTTATTTTTATGTTTCTAGTGCAATAAAGAGTTAAATAAATAAATAATGGAAAAAATAAAGTTATAATATATTGTATAATAATACGTAAAAGAAAATTTACAATGTTATGATGATTTGATGAAAAAAAAAAATTGGAGGTGCATGTTGAAGTGCTTAAAGATTTAAAATTAATTTTTCGAATATATACCGTATTACTCGCCACATATAGATTATAAAAACAACCATCAAGACTAAAGTTAAACAAATTACATGAAACAGTGCGCAAAATAAAGTGAGATATAACAAAATATAGCTGAAAACGAATACGAAAGGTTTACGAATTTCATAAATCTAATTATACACAAATGTGTCACAATTTTTTGTTTTTTTTTTTCCTACATAAATGCATAGTGCCATAATGCCACGATAATGCCACCAGATGTCATAGTGAAGGAGGCCGATGTAGCCTCGCACGGTTCTATTATTGTTTGGTCTCAGGAATTCGAACAGAGAGCAAATTTTTGGAAAGGTTGGTTTATTTTAATTCATTTATATTTACCGTGTGGTAGGTATGCCATTGCTGGGTAAAGTCTTCCCGCAACTGATTTCAAGTGCCATGATAACTGGCAAAGGTGTATAAGCGCTTATGGACGTATAGTGCCCCTTCATCGTCTATTGGGTTCGTCGTTCGTCGTTTAAACTATTACTCAATATACTTCTATATACTTCTAGAACGAGACAAGCGACACGAGCAAGAGAAGAAGGCTCTGAGTGCAGAACTAGAAGCGGAGAGGCAGAGTCGGCAGAAGTTGCTGTCCTCCCAGTACGAGTTGCAGGAGCGGCTCGATGCGTTACAGAGGTGATAATAATAGCTTTACCTTAATAAAACTAGCGGCCCGTCCCGGCTTCGCACGGGTGGACATTTTTACAACATTTCAAAAAGTAGTAATTTTCCAAATCGGTTTTTAAATGACGGGAGTTATGAGGTAACAAATAATAAAAAATATAACCGAATTGAGTAACTCCTCCTTTTTTGATGTCGGTTAAAAAATGTATTAACTTGTGTTGAAACAGGACGCCGGCGCCTAAGGAGCATAGAAGGTCGCTGTCAGACGCAAGCAATAACTCACAGCAGGAGACCACGATTGAAGATGTTAGTATCCGATTGGTTTATTATTTGACTGTTAAGTTCAAGGTGGTTGTCATTTTTCTCCTCGCGGGAGAGCTAGGTGGGGGTCTCGGGGCGAACCCCTTTGCCCCAGCTTCAATACCGGGGATAACTGACAGTGGGTCATTGGGTTAGAACTTCACTGGCGTGCTAAGGCGGGTCTTTTACTCTTCTTTCTATTTCTTCTTGGAGTCTGTTGAATTTGGCCTCTATCTCTTCCTCTAAAATATATTTATGTATTTATATGATTTTGTAACATTCATTTATAGTATAGATATAAGGTTATATTAAAAATGTACACATACAGACTTATGTTTTAAAGGGATACATATATGTATTTTTTTAATACATACTAAGGTCTGGGTTGGCTGTTAAGAATCAATTAAAGTCTTATGATCCCCTTGATGGGGAGGGTTAGGTGGGGGTTCCTCGGGGCAAACCCCTTTGCCCCAGCTTCAATTCTGGGGACAACTATCCCCGGTCACGAGAAGAGATGTCTAACCGGCGTAGTGATGTGTGATTTTCTACTCCTTATTGGAGTGGTGTGGATTCATAAGACTCCTTTTCTTCTCTCTTTCCGTTTATATTTTTTTCTCTTATTGATTTTTTTTAAGTATTTCGCATGTCTTTTAGAAGTTGACCCTTCTTGCCACTATTATTGTAAGTGTGGGGTAAATATAAGCTCACTGCCGATGTTTCCCCAAGAGACTACAGCATGGGGATCTTCAAAAGGGGGGTAAAGAGGTTTCTTCAGGGTCGCCAACGCGCGCGTAATACCTCTGGTATTGCAGGCGCTCATAGGCTACGGTAACCACTTACCATCAGGTGGGCCGTATGCTTGATTGTCACCTCAGTGGTATAAAAAAATGGGGTCTGAAAGGAGGAAGGCTACATTTTGGCGATGTTGCTGCGAGTGTTAATTGTATTAAATGTATTAATTGTTATAACCAGGATTACGGGTATGGATCGGTCCGTTCTGTGGAGACGAACAGGCCAGCCTTGGAGGCTGTTAACTGGTCCACCGGCTCGCACAATGGCCCAGCGCCGCCGGTGAGTTTGTCTCGTTTTACTCTGTACCAGATGATAGATAGATAGATACTCTTTATTGTTTCCTCCAAAAGATTACAATAGTAAACTTATTATAGATACAAACAATTACAAGAAATAATCACAATGAGAAAACAATGGGCGACCTTATCGCTAAGAGCGATCTCTTGCAGGCAACAACTTTGGATGGAGAGGAGTAATTATAAACAATTTGGTGGGAGGCACGATGAAAAATTTTGTTAGTTCTAGATATGGGAGATGTGATACATATAATAATATTAATTATATATATATATATATATATATATATATATATATATATATATATATATATATATATATACATTATATTATTTATTACATTTTATTTTATTAGTAGTAAATCATTTTATTTTTATTGTAATAATTTTTTTTATTTTATTTTAAGGGCTTTTTTTACATTCTTCAGGTATATCAGCCCTATCGTACCCCGAACTGATTTCTTAAATAAAGCTTTATCTACTTTCCCTAGACACGGAAAGAGAAGAATTAATGGGCATCAATAATTTACAGAGATGTTTAAAAATTTCTGCTGTATTATTTATTACTGAATGTAGTAATTGACTTGGTTTTATTTATTACTGAACATAATAATGGACTCCTGGGGGCCTTTTCCATGAAATGAAAATCCGAATTTTCGGGCTCAATTTCGTGTTTTTATTCGTACCTAAATCGACCCAGTAAATGGAGCTTCAATCGCATTCATTTAACGTTTTATTTATCATAAATCCTATCCTAATAGTCCAGAGGAACGATATTTTAATATTTTTAATAATTTTAAACGGTATGCATTATGTAATTTTAACATCAAATTTCTATTTCGTTCGTCCCCGAAATTTCGGAAAATATTTCATGGTAGGCCCTCTGTTTATTTATTACGTTATATAGTAATTAACCTTGTTTTATTTTATTACGTTATCTAGTAATTGACTTGTTTTATTTATTACTGAACGTAGTAATTGACTTGGTTTATTTATTACTAAATGTAGTAACTAACTTGTTTTATTTTGTTACGTTACATACACATACTTATTTATTTGAAAAGTATTGTAATAATGTCGACAATTATCGTGGAAGATATCCAAATAAGCTAATATTGCCTATAATGTTAACGGACCTATATAAAAGAAGTTGTTATCCAATTATCCGGATATACAACAAACTTCCGACCTCTTTAAAGGAATTGCCATCGACACAATTTAAAATACAATTATTTAATTTATTAATTGACAAATGCTACTATTCAATAAGTGATTATATAAACGATGTTGAACTATAATTATTAGAAAACATAATATTTTGACAATACATACTTGATATAATTTTAACATTCGTCATGAATATATTGACAGTTTTATAACAATAATTTCATACTTTTATAATAATAATAAATGTATAATATGTAACTTTAATTGAATTATATAAAGAATAATAATAGATTAATTCAAATATGTATTTGCATGTCTGTAAAGACTAAAAGTGAGATCTATATAACATAAATAACCATACCATCTATTATGTACTACTTTTATAACAAATAAATTTCATTTCATTTCATTTCATTTCATTTCATTTCATTACGTCACGAAGTAATTACCTTGTTTTATTTTATTACATCACATAATAATTTTGATATATTTATTTTATTTTATTTATAAATATAATAAACAGTAAAAATAGCTTTGTATGTAAACAGATCGCGGACGCGGGCCTAGTGCTACGTATGCAGAACAGAATTTCGGCGCTGCAGAGCGAACTCTCCAGGACGACGAAGCGCGCCGCTGATTTAGAGGAGCGACTTATGAGTGAGTGGCGACAGATAAAGATAAATTTATAGATTTTTTTAATAATAGAATAGCAACAAGCTGACGGCTCACCTGATGGAAAGTGGTAACCGTCGTCTATAGATATGAGTAATACCATGGACATAGCAAAATACATTATTATGTCCATGGTTTTCTATTGCGATTCTTGATGACTAAGATACCAAAAGCAAAAGTATCAAATTACTTTTCGGAGTGTCTTTGCGTGATTAAATCCGAAACGAGGATATCCGCAAAAGAAGCAAAGTATCTCGACATAGCCCGAAGGATAAACAAACTGACGTGGCAATGGGCTGGTCCCATAGCTCTTGAGTGACGACCCTGTACGGGCAAACGCAGTGTAGGACGAGCCCCCACTAAATGGGGGGTAGTCTTGTATCCGCTGACTTTCTTCAATGCATTGCATTGAGTCAGTGGATGCTAGGTCTATGGATGGACTTAGGATAGTTTCGTATGACAGTCTATGGGGGAAGTATATGTTTAGCAGTGAACAGATATGACCGAGATGATGATGATGATGAATTCTATCCAAATAGTCAGTGAAAAGTAATATTTGTACGTTTTCCTAGATCGCATGGCGTCACCACCAAGCAACCCCAACATAGACAGGTTTAAAGTGGAAGAGCTGGAAATAGAGAACAAGAAGCTGCGAGAGCACCTCGACAGGCTGCGAGCGGCTGGCGACAGCATGCTCATCTCCAAGGAGGTTATAGGTGAGTTTATAATAGACTACTGTATGTTTTTATTTTCAACTAATGATCCGACCTGATAGGTTTAGATATTTATATGTCATTCATTCATTCTATAAAATAAATATATATATATATATATATATATATATATATATATATATATATATATATATATATATATATATATATATATATATATATATATATATATATATGTTAGTCGAAATTCAACCATAACATGTATTTATTTATTTATTTAACTCTTTATTGCACCATAAATAAAAATATACAATAACAAGTGAATAATTCAAGTGAAATACAGTAACATAAATACAGATTGAAATATACACATAAAGGTACGAGAGGCGGTGTTATCGCTAGGGGAATCTCTTGCAGACAACCTTTGGTTAAAGGAGAACAGATAGAAATGGGCAGGTGGCGCAAGAGTGAATTGTAATAAATGTATTTATTATGGTCACGTATGACATTCAGTGAGACTATAGACAAATAATATTAACAGACAAACAATATTAATCTATTCCTAAGAACAAGGAAATACATAGAAGGACTGATAAAATAAAAAAAAAAAAAAACTATATCATATGGTTGTCTCCTTTCTTCTTATACAAATATAATTAGTAAAAAGAGGACGAAAGATACACCGTCAGTTGCTATTTTCCTCAATTCACAGCAGGCTAGTGTATAGAAAATGTTTGATATGTCAATTATTTGTCAATGACAAATTTTATATTATTAGATGATATATTCAGCACAGTTTATGTAGAAAATATGCAAGCAGGTTGTATCTGAATTTGGTGGGGTTAACATTATTTATTTACAGAACAAATGGCTGTGATGCAGAAGGAATTGGACAGGAGGCGGGACGAGTGTGTGCAACTCAAGAGCGTACTAACTAATCAGGTATGATACTACACACACTTCATACAAACATGGACACTACTCAAAAATGGCTACTACAAAAAAAATGCCTACTACATAAAAATGGCCACTACACAAAAATGGTCACTTCATACAAAAATGGTCACTTCATACAAAAATGGCCACTACACAAAAATGGTCACTTAATACAAAAATGGCCACTATACACAAATGGTCACTTCATTCAAAAATGGCCACTTTACAAAAAAAATGGCCTCTTTATACAAAAATGGCCACTTTATAAAAAAATGGCCACTTCATACAAAATGGCCACTGTACACAAAAATGGCCACTTCGTACAAAAATGGCCACTTTACACAATAAAGGCCACTTCACACAAAAATAGTCACTTTATATAAAAATGGTCACTTCTTACAAAAATGGCCACTTTACAGAATAATGGCCACTTCATACAAATCCATTAACTACTACGTAAACAAAAAATTTGATGTCACTACTAAATTTTTATGTAGATATTACAAGAAACGAATATATTATGAGAAAGAGATATTATCAGAAAGAGATTCTATACGTCTTCTATTTGGGTACCTTTGTCTCACTAGTAGTAGGTTCTGCTTCCAAGCAGCTGTGTTTTCCTCACCACAGATATAATAATACTAATAGTATTATACTATGTAAGTATAACACTAAGTTAGTACTGTACTAAGTATTATACTAAAAAATGTTTTTATACATACGTTTCTTATAGTTCTTATATTTATATTTGTAAATTCGTATACATCGATAGATGAGGTTGATCATAGTGGACCTATCTTGTTTTACCATCCATTATGTACTGTTACCTAGGTATTACAAAATAAATGAATGAAATGACTTACTGAGTAAGTATAATACTAAGAAAGTGTTATACTGAGTTAGTATGATACTAAGTCTGTATTTTTTTTTTGATGGGTGAAAATGGTATGGTAACCCCGCCTGCGCTAACGGGATACGCTGGTGAAGCACCAGTGAAGGGTGATAGATGAGAATGAAAACAGGCCAGTTAGCCCATCATGATTAATTCATCAGATATTAACCATGATAGATTCCATGATAGTTTTCGACCTGGTTGGGTATATTGCTAGCAATGGGATTCTCAATCTCCATTACTAATAATCCCTTTCCCCCCCAGTCTGTATTATATTACGAAGTGTTATACTAACTATTATACTAAGTAAGTAGTACTCAGGAATGTCTGTGCACAAGAAGTATCGACATCACAGTGTCTAGCCGACAGTTACCGCTCTCCATCAGGCGGGCCGTTAGCTTGTTTGCTTCGTTTATTATCCTAAATAACATAAAAAAATTAGATGGTCGACCTGACCACCAAAATACGTTTTACACCAAAATACGTAGGACAGACAGACAGAGGCGGGCAGCGTTTTTTTTTCTCAATCGGTTTCAAAAACAATGAGATTCTTAATTCGGTTGTATTTTTTTTTTTATGTTTGTTTGTTACTTCATAACTCCGTCAGTTGTGAACCGATTTGGAAAATTCTTTTTTTATCTGAAAGCATATACTTACAGATTGATCTTAAAGAAATTTTATCAAAATCCATTCCGGTAGTTGTAAATTTAAAATAACTGGTTTTGCTGAGTTTTTTTTTCTGCTATAAATTATTGTTGTCTTGTATTCTATGATTACATACTATGATTACGTACTTCCTGTCGCTTATCACGTATCTGATATGATATATGATGGTATATCTTGTCTCGATGATAAAAAAAATCTTTGAAAACACACTCTGTACCGTGGGTTCCGTATATCGTATTAATATTTTAAATTCGCTTCCATACACATATATGGAAGCGAATCGTGGGTATGGCAGAAGAAGCATGAAAGTAAGATAAATGCTGTAGAGATGAGAGGTTTGAGAAGTATGTGTGGTATTACATTAAAAGATAGAGTGAGAAACAGTGTGATTAGAGAGAAGTGTGGACTGAAACGCAATGTAGTGGCAAAAATCGAAAAAGGAATGTTGCGTTGGTTTGGCCATTTGGAGAGGATGATGAAAGAAGAATTACGAAAGAGATTTATCGAGCAAGAATGTGAACGGACGTATGTAGACCAAATAGGCGTAGTGCTGAAGAAGGGCCAAATCAAAAGTACCCGTAACCGGCGAGCGTGTATGAAAAGATTGATGAATGTGGAAGAAGCGAAAGAGGTCTGTTTGAATCGAAGCATTTGGCGTTCCATTGTTTCTGTCTACCCTAATGGGAGATAGGCGTGACAGATGTGTTTGTATGTATAAATTGACAACTCCCATCTTTGAAGTCGGTTACAAATGCGGAATCCATTCGCAAACTAACGTATCCGCTTGTCAGTCTGTGTGTAAATTATCTGACACAGTATTTACACAGTAGTGGCAAGTGATACAGTATTGTTGTTTTCTATCATGGTTTGAATAATGGAGTTTAATTAAAGAAAAAAAATTAGTTTATTATAAATGCCACAGTTGGTTTACATATCGAAGACTTTATTTATGGATTTGCCTGTTAATCGAAGTAGTTTTAACTATCACAGTAAGGTAATAAGTTACAGTGTTCACTAATCAGCCACGCGTTGCGTAGGCGCCTGCGCACTCCATAATGTCATCATTACCTGTAAATAAACATACCCTTAATAACAAGTTACATTAGGCATACATATAATTATACTAGCTGACTCGGCAAACGTTGTTTTACCATATTCATCATTTCGAGAACTATACATGAAAATTTATCGTACTACAATTATTATATTCGATCGCCGACATGCAACCCTACAGCGTTATATAAAACTCGCAATTAAAAAACAGGGGTTGATCGTAAAAGCGTGGAAATTTTTTTAATTAATAGTTCCCCCTGGAAACCATCGTGGTTAGTTCTAGTGGAATTTGTCACGATGGGCTAACTGAACTGCCTTTTTATTTTCACCTATCGTCCCTCACTGGTGCCCCGCCAGTATACACGGTATAGTGTAGACGGGGCTACCATTTTGTTACTATTCCGTAAATAAAAAAAAAAATACTAATTCACAGGGGGGAAAGGTATTGTTAGTAATGGTGACTGAGAATCCCATTGGTAGCAATATACCCAACCAGGTCGAACTCCTTGCGGTTCTCCCTGGAAACTATCATGGTCAATTTCTGATGATTTCATCATGATAGGCTAACTAGCCTGTTTTCATTCTCATCTGTCACCCTTCACTGGTGCTCCGCCATCGTATCCCGTTAGTGCAGGCGGGGTTACCATACCATTTTCACCCATCAAAAAAAAATACATATCACCTTCTTGCTGTTGTGAAACATAAGCACTCGAAGCACTGTCAAAACAAATTACGCGTGCAAGACTTAAATAGCTTTTAGAGATTTATGCTGTATCAAATCGCAGCTTAAGTCAACTAAGACGCTTAAGCTATTCTCGTCTCCCAATCGCGAACCAAATAATTTTGGAAAAATGTTACAGTCTCCTTTATAAAAAATGTTGTCGGTTTCAAAGAAATTTTCTACCGCGAACACTCAGCCTGTGGAATGATTACGGTTTTAACCCATTTAAATGCTACAAGAAGATATTGGTGCCATATTTAAAAAATAAAGTAAATTAAAAAAAAGTTATAAATATTTATTAGGTATAATTTCGTTTGACGTTACCAAAATATCAACTGGGCGATTAGAGTCGTCATGGAAACTTTGTCGGGAAAAATTATGTATGGGGGCATAAAAATTTTAGAAATGTTCAAGTTGGGGCATGGCACAGAAAAGGTTGGGGAACACTGCCCTAGAGACTACAGTGTACTATTGAGACTACAGTATGGGGTTCTTTAAGGTTGTTTTAAGGTTTCTTCAGGGTCGGCAACGCGCATGTGACACCGCTGGTGTTGCAGGCGTCCATAGGCTGTAGTGACCGTTTACCATCAGGCAGGCTATATGCCGGTTTGCTACCTGCGTAGTATTAAAAAAATATAATAGAAGTCGTTTTTTTATGATACATAATTTTAAATAATTCTAATATTGTATCACTAACTGGGTATTTACAGGGTATAGAGGAATTAAACACCTGAGTCCTCAGGAATGGCAACGCATGGGGGGTATCATGGGCGAAACAGTATACTCTGTTATGTCCACGGTACTGCTCATGTCTATAGGCGACGGTTACCACTCTCCATCAGGCGGGCTGTGAGCTTGTTTGTCATTCTAAGTTCCATAAAAAAAAACTAACTTCAAGGGTTTTATTTTAGTCGTCTAAAGTATGTTTATTTGTTCCAAACACAGAAACCATGGTTCCAAGCACTGAAAAATGTCGTGAGTAATATTTTAAAACAATCGTATGCACGATACGAAAATATCAATGCATGATTGTATTGAAGCTTTGTTAAATAACTAGATTCTTTCGTTTATATTTTTATTTTATTTAGTACTTATTAATTTTTATGAATCTCTGGCATAGAATTCTACACGCGCATACGCATGTGCCCATACACACACACACACACACACACACACACACACACACACACACACACACACACGCGCACACACACGCGCACACGCGCACACACGCGCACACGCACACATACGCACACGCACACGCACACATATGCACACGCACACACGCAAAGTCATAATCTTGTTTAACGTTTGTTGTAATTTGTTGTATGAATAAAAACATATTTCGCCGACCCTAAAGGGGTAAGAGATAATTAGATCGAGAAATATCGACTAGTTTCGGAATCAAGGAATATTACATTAAAATGGCTTTGTTTTTATGTATTTTTATATTTCTTAGTTTTAATAGTATTTATAGTCATATGGACGTTTCATGTGACATTGAATTGTGTAATTTATTTTTATTTATAATATTTATGCTTCTGTAAGAAATATTTTATTATAATTCAAAATTTTGATTTTTTTACATTTTTTAATTTCATGCATCCTTTTGCTGTTGCATGGTATGCGCTTTTTTCGTAATATATATTTTTTATTTTCTAAAATACAGGTTGGAATCGAAATAGCATAGTTTTTAAGGTAGTGCTCTACCAAAGAATCTGAACATTTTAAACAAAGGAATATGACTTGAAAAATAATAAAAAAAAAAACAATGTACAGTTAAATTTGATAGTTAGAAACTTTATGTTACTGTGGAAGGTACGAAATGTTTTTCCGTTTCTTTTCCCCGTGAAATTTTCCCCATGAACATGTAAATGTTTGAGTCATTCATGTTCATGGAGAAATTGTTCAAATGATGCTAATTTGATTTCACCTGTATATATTTTATAAATGAAATGTCAATTTATTACGCTGAGGTATTTAATAATGTCATATAAAATTGTAAATTAACATTTGCCACTTTTTTCCTTATTCATAAATCTATTTTAATTATTGGTATTTATTGTCACAGTCGCCACGTGGTCCCGGTATAGATTAGGCCACCCTTTCCTTTTTTATAAGTGTCGTAAGAGGCGATTAAGGGAAGGCGAGGGATGGGCAGCTAACTGCGGTTGCCAGTCCGCTTGCCAGGTGTGGCAACTACTGGTAAAACGCCCCAAGGAGGAAACTTATTTATATTTTGCAGTGACAGCTGATATGATGAGTGTCACATTAGTTCAAATTGAGAATTTAGCCCAAAAAAAAAGAGATTAAAACATTTGAATAATTAAAATAGGTTTAGTAGTCGTTAGATGTGGTCTCGGCATATAATGGGCTGGCCTTCTTTTCCCGTGGGTGTCGTTAGGGGCGATTAAGGGAGGCAGAGGGATGGGCAGCAGCGTCCCTTTAAAAATGTCACTAACGCGTAACTGTGGTTGTCAACCTGTCTGCCGGCTACTGGCAAACCCCCTTTATGGGGGAGGCTTATGTTCAGCAGTGGACAGTTAACAGCTGATATGATGATGAGACGTTAGGAGTTTTATGAATAAGGGGATTTTTTTATTTTTTATTTTAAATGGTACAAAGAATATGTCCCGCAGGTACTATTCTTAATCTATAGTATAAAGTTTCCGCATGAATGAATGATTAAATCAACGAATCAGTGATTGAATGAATGATAACTTTATATAGGAACTGGTTGCAATGTTTAAATAAAATAACTAAAGCTTGTTATATTATGTTGCTACTGTTCATATTGTAATCGTACTAATGTCGACCTTATGTTTACAGACGGTGAATCTAAAGTCGCTCGCGTCGTCCAACTACGGATCAGATGTGGACATTATTAACGAAGATGGAGAACTGGCGACCGCTTACGAAGCGCAGAAGGGAATTAACAGGTATCAATATGGCCTTTGACCAGCCTTCAGTCGGATTTTATTTTATTTTATTTTATTTGGGAAACAATTTTTTGTTACTTTTAATTTATACAGTAGAATCTCGATTATCCGAATGAAATAAAACCGTATAATCGAAAATCCGGATAATCGATTTCCAAGTCGAATCAAATAATAACTTCATTTTAATATTTTTTTTTATTATGTAAAGGGTTTCATATACGTCATTTAGACAATACGATATAAAAAATTATGAGCTATAAACAGAATGGATGGATTACATAGTAACTATTTACTCAGTTAATACATAACACCATTTCTAAACCGATAATTAGAGGTGTGAAGAATAAGTCCGGATAATCGAATATTCGGATAATCGATGTTCGGACAATCGAGATTGTAAATGTATATATAAAATTCTTATTCTATAATAAAGTTTATTTTATTTGTTTATGACAATAAATAAACATAAGTAATGTTATAATTTTTCATTCAAAGTTAAAATATTTTAATTTAGAACATAGAATATAAAAATAGAAAATCTATTTCTTCTGTAACTTACAGAATTTTGCTCAGCTTTATCTAAATGCCTTGGTCCATAGTTTATAATGTTTAAACTAATTGTAAAATATCTTCACGCTAGACAATTGCAAGAGGAGCTGACAGCTGAGAAGAAGTTTTATTCAGAGCACATTACGAAAACCAAAGCTGAAATCGACCGGCTCAGAGAAGAGAATGAGAAATATCAAAAGTGAGTTTACTTCTTAACTCTTCTTTATTTTTTAACTTAAATATTAAATGTAAATATATATCATGGGATGATGATGATGTAAATATATATCGAGGGTCTTTTATGAGATGAAATTATGATGACTCCGCGTGCATTATCGGTATTGGCTGGTGCTTAAAGGCGGGAGTCGTAGTAATATGATTTATCTCGACTGTAGCTTAAGGCGGCAGTCGTAGTAATACGATTTATCTCGACTGTAGCTTAAGGCGGCAGTCGTAGTAATACGATTTATCTCGACTGTAGCTTAAGGCGGCAGTCGTAGTAATACGATTTATCTCGACTGTAGCCTAAAGGCGGGAGTCGTAGTAATACGATTTATCTCGACTGTAGCTTAAGGCGGCAGTCGTAGTAATACGATTTATCTCGACTGTAGCTTAAGGCGGCAGTCGTAGTAATACGATTTATCTCGACTGTAGCTGAAGGCGGCTGTCGTAGTAATATGATTTATCTCGACTGTAGCTTTACCATTTAACTGTGATTGACGAGTATACTGGTCATGGAGAAGTGGTAAAATGGCCGCGTTACCTAGCATACTTTCGTCAAGATCCCCCGCCTTTAATGTGTACAAAGATCGACGTTTATGTGTACATTGTATTAAAATAGGTAGTTATACTGGTTAGTGCTTCAACTGTAACTAGTTACATAATGACTATGGTGTTATTTAGTCCTGACTCTTCTCAAAGCCACAGTGTAATCGTCGACTCTTTTCACGTGTAACTATCGGCTCTTCTCAGAGCCACAGTGTAACCATCGATTTTTTCAGAGTTGAAGTATAACCATCTGCTCTTATCAGAGCTAGTGTAACCGTCGACATTTATTAGAACCACAGCATAACCATCAGTTCTTCTCAGACCCACAGTGTAACTATCGGCTCTTCTAAGAGCCACAGTGTAACTAGCAACTCTTCTAAGAATCACAGTGTAACCATCGGCTCATCTCAGAGCCACAGTATGACTGCCGGCTCTTTTCAGAGCCATAGTGTAATTATCGGTTTTTCTCAGAGCCACAGTGTAACTATCGGCTCTTCTTAGAGTCATAGTGTAACCATCGGCTCTTCTCAGAGCCATAGTGTAACCTTCGGCTCTTCTCAGAGCTACAGTGTAACCATCGGCTCTTCTCAGAGCCACAGTGTAACCATTGGCTCTTCTTAGAACCACAGTGTAATCATCGGTTCTTCTCAGAGCCCCAGTGTAATTACTGGCTCTTCTAAGAGCCACAGTGTAACCATTGGCTCTTCTCAGACCCACAGTGTAACCATTGGCTCTTCTTAGAACCACAGTGTAATCATCGGTTCTTCTCAGAGCCACAGTGTAATTACTGGCTCTTCTAAGAGCCACAGTGTAACCATTGGCTCTTCTCAGAGCCACAGTGTAACCATTGGCTTTTCTTGGAACCACAGTGTAATTGTCGGTTCTTCTCAGAGCCTCAGTGTAATTATTGCCTCTTCTAAGAGCCACAGTGTAAACATCGGTTCTTCTCAGAGCCACAATGTAACCATTGGCTCTTCTTAGAACCACAGTGTAATCATCGGTTCTTCTCAGAGCCACAGTGTAATTACTGGCTCTTCTAAGAGCCACAGTGTAACCATCGGCTCTTCTCAGAGCCACAGTGTAACCATTGGCTCTTCTTAGAACCACAGTGTAATCATCGGTTCTTCTCAGAGCCCCAGTGTAATTACTGGCTCTTCTAAGAGCCACAGTGTAACCATTGGCTCTTCTCAGACCCACAGTGTAACCATTGGCTCTTCTTAGAACCACAGTGTAATCATCGGTTCTTCTCAGAGCCACAGTGTAATTACTGGCTCTTCTAAGAGCCACAGTGTAACCATTGGCTCTTCTCAGAGCCACAGTGTAACCATTGGCTTTTCTTGGAACCACAGTGTAATTGTCGGTTCTTCTCAGAGCCTCAGTGTAATTATTGCCTCTTCTAAGAGCCACAGTGTAAACATCGGTTCTTCTCAGAGCCACAATGTAACCATTGGCTCTTCTTAGAACCACAGTGTAATCATCGGTTCTTCTCAGAGCCACAGTGTAATTACTGGCTCTTCTAAGAGCCACAGTGTAACCATTGGCTCTTCTCAGAGCCACAGTGTAACCATTGGCTTTTCTTAGAACCACAGTGTAATCGTCGGTTCTTCTCAGAGCCTCAGTGTAATTATTGCCTCTTCTAAGAGCCACAGTGTAAACATCGGTTCTTATCAGAGCCGCAGTGTAACCATCATCTTTTTTCAAAGCTGCAGTGTAGCCATAAGCTCTTCTCAGAGCCACAGTCTAAGCATCAGCTCTTTTTAGAGCCGCAGTGTAACCATCGGCTCTTCTCAGAGCTGCAGTGTAACTGTCAGCTCCTTTCTAAGCTACAGTGTAACCACCGGCTCTTCTCAGAGCTGCAGTGTAACTATCGGCTCTTCTCAGAGCTGCAGTGTAACTATCGGCTCTTCTCAGAGCCTGCATCGGCTCTTTTGTAACTGTCAACATTCGGCTTTTTTTAGAGCCACAGTGTAACCATCGGCTCTTCTCAGAGCCACAGTGTAACTATCGGCTCTTTTAAGAGCCACAGTGTAACTATCGACTCTTCCCAGAGTCACAGTGTAACCATCGATTCTTATCAGAGCCACAGTGTAACCATCGGCTCTTCTCAGAGCTGCAGTGTAACTATCGGCTCTTTTTAGAGCCATAGTGTAACTATCGGTTCTTTTCAGAGCCACAGTGTAACATTCGGCTTTTCTCAGAGCCACAGTGTAACCATCGGCTCTTCTCAGAGCCACAGTGTAACATTCGGCTCTTCTCAGAGCCACAGTCCAACTATCGGCTCTTCTCAGAGTCACAGTGTAACCATCGATTCTTATCAGAGCCACAGTGTAACCATTTGGCTCTTCTCAGAGCCATAATGTAACCATGGGCTGTTCTCAGAGTCACAGTGTAACTATCGGCTCTTCTCAGAGTCATAGTGTAACCATTGGCTCTTCTCAGAGCCACAGTGTAACTATTGACTCTTCTCAGAGCCATAATATAACCATGGGCTGTTCTCAGAGTCACAGTGTAACTATCGGCTCTTCTCAGAGCCATAGTGTAATCATCGGCTCTTCTCAGAGCTATAGTGTAACTATCAGCTCGTCTTAGAGCCATAGTGTAACCATCAGCTCTTCTCAGAGTCGTAATATAATCACCGGATCTTTTCAGAGCCACAGTGTAACTATCGGCTCTTCTTAGAGTTACAGTGTAACTACCGGCTCTTATCGGAGCCACAGTTTAAAAGTTCTTCTAACCATCTGCTCTTATCAATAATCAGATCTTGTAATCGTCGATCACTCTTTACAGTGTAACCATCGGTTTTTAGAGTTAAAGTATAACCATCGTTTCTTCTCAGAGCCACAATGTAACTATCGGCTCTTCTAAGAGCTACAGTGTAACTAGCAACTCTTTTAAGAATCACAGTGTAACTATCGGTTCTTCTCAGAGCCATAGTGTAGCTACTGGCTCTTCTAAGAGCCACAGTGTAACGACCGGCTCTTCTAAGAGCTACAGTGTAATCGTCGATTCTTCTCAGAGCCACAGTGTAACCATCGGCTCTTCTCAAAGCCACAGTGTAACTATCTGCACTTCTCAAAGCCTCGATCAGTACCATGCGAAGTACGAATAATTCAAAGCTATTTTCAATGAAGATGAAGCACTTAGCTCTTAATTTAATGAGTAAATAAAAAAAGAAATATATAAACATATTTACGATAAGATATATAATTTTATTATATACTTCATAGTTTAAGATTATCTGTTATATATTTTGGCTTACATACTATGATCGGAAAGCTCGTATTATATCTAAGAAAGTGACCTTGGATTTGGACTCTATTAACTGGCGTTCTGCACGCGTTGACTTATGAAAGTGGAAGCAAAAGATATTGTATTATTTTTTATTTATATTATTATTATATATATAAGGCCTTTCCAAAGAGGGTTGACGTCAGGCAGGCTGCCGGTCGTAAAACTATATGCCAAATCCTTTAGTAACATGGCTAAAACTATAATACGCCGACCCCAAATAATAGTTGGGATAAGGGTAGGAAGATGATGATTATAAGGCCTTTGTCATTCGGCTATTTCTGTTTACCTCGTAATGGATTGGGCGTGATGATACATAGATGACATAGTTGATTTCTAATGATGATATGGGTCGTAAATCTACCTCCTTATACATTTAAACTAAAACTTACAAACCTATTTTAATTATAAACACAATTTTGTCACTTTCATTCAAATTGAGAAGTTAGTGCATAAGAAAGAGACAATTGTTAAAAAAATAAAAATTATAGAGGTTTATTTTTTTTTATGAATAAGGAAGTATTTCTAACACGCAATAATGATACGACATCGTTTTGTATGTAGGTTGAGAACTAAATTTTTTTTTATAGAAAATTTATTATTAATTAGAAATAAAAAGTAATGTAAAATTATTTTATAGTTATTATGGTCCAGAAAAAAAAATAATTTTATATTTCTGTTTTAAGATTTTTTTTTTTAAATGGGTGATAATGGAATGGTAACCCCGCCTGCGCTCTTAGTATATATACACTGGCGGGGCACCAGTGAGGGACGATAGATGAGGATGATAGCAGGTCAGTTAGTCCATCGTGAATAATTCCACGAGAAGTAACCACGACCAGGGGGAACCACGTGGAGGTCGACCTAATTAGTGACATTGCTAGCAATGGGGCTGTTAGACCGCACCGCTAACAATCCCTTTCGCCCCAATTTATTATTAATTAGAAGTAATAAATGGTCCAAGATGGTGATTATAAAATGTAATTGATTCATTAAGTTTTTGTCGCGCCATATTACATTAATTATAAATGAAATGTATATTATAAAAGAAATTGACATATGTGTTTTATATATGTATGTATTGTTAAATAAATAATTGAATTGAATTGAGTATATATAATAATGTTTTATACAATTTGATACTTCTGCGGATTTCATCGTTTTTTAATATTATTGTAACCAATGTTTTTGTTCCAAATAAAGAATTATTAAATTTACGATATATCGGCTTAAAACCGGTTTTACAGGTGTACACGGGCCTAAGCCAAGTGCATAACTGTGTGCTATGTTTTTTGTATAATATAAATGTAATTTGTCTGGTAATCTGTTTGTAATATTATGTTAAACTGTAGATGTACCAGGAACGTCTAGTCCAATTTGCAGAAACTTCCTGACAATTCGGCATGTATTTAGGATTACGGCTTTCTGTAATTGATGGTAAATATTTGGTGGTAACTTTATTATTATTATATATAATAATCTTGTATTTCTGCCGTAGGTTGCTCAGTGCCGACCTCAGTCAGGAGCCCAAGAATAAGTCGTTGGAGTTCTCTCAGAATGAAATCATACGTTTGGCGGCCGAGAGCTTGGCTTTGCAGGTAAAATTTTCGTTAGAATTTAAACGCTAGAGCAGTGTTTCCTTCAACCTTTTTTGTGCCATGCCCCACTTGAAACATTTCTAAAATTTTTATGCCCCCCCATACATAATTTTTCCCGACAAAGTTTACTTGACGACTCTAATCGCCCAGTTGATATTTTGGTAACGTCAAATGAAATTATACCTAATAATCATTTACATATTTTTTTTTAATTTACTTTTTTTTGTTAAATTTGGCACCGATATCTATTCGTAGCATTGCATTTAAATGGCTCGGAGCAATAGGGTTATAATCGCTTCGACTCCATTTTTAATTCCCCCCCCCCTTAGCAATTAGCAATATTGCTAGCAATGGGGCTGTCAAACTCCATTGCTAATAAAATGTATGTATACTGGCCTTGTGGTCCCGATATAAAATGGGCCACCCCTTTCATTCTCGTGGGTGAGGCGACTTAAGAAACTTAATGGTCGATAGAAGGGCAGCAGCGTCCCTCTTAAGATGTCACCAAAGCCTAACTGTAGTTGCCAACCCGCTTGTCAAGCCTGGCAACTACTGACAAAACTCCCCAAGGGATAACATGATAAAGATGACATTGCAAATAAAAAAAATAGACGTTAATTGTGGTATAACCAGTTATTTTGATTTCAGACCTAACCTACTGAACCGATTTTGATAAAATTTTGGACCAATTGGTAAGTATATCTTTTCAGATAATAAAAGAAATTCCCAAATAGGTTTATAATTGACTGAGTTATGAGGTAACGAACGTAAAAAAAAATACAACCGAAGCACTAACACAGTGTTACGTTACCAGGAGCGGGTGGACAAGTTGTCGGAGAGCTGCCGCCGGTACAAGAACCAGATACGACTGCTGGTCAACAAGCTGAAGGAGGTCGGCGTGGACGATGTCAGCGACATCTTGGAGAGTAGCGGTGAGGCCGCATTTAATAGAAAGAATAAAGAGAGAAGAAATAAAAGAGAAATAGAAACTTCATCACCCACACACACACACACACACACACACCCACACACACACACACACATACACACACACACACATACAGACACACACACACACACGCACGCACGCACGCACGCACGCGCGTTCACGCACGTACACACGCACACACACAGAGACACACACACACATACACAAACGTGCGTACGCACGCACTCACATGCGCACATGCACACGCGCACGCACACGCACACACTCTTACAGAGTGAGGAGATATAATAGAGGAGGAATAATAGAATACAAATAGATTTTCAAGATACTTAGAATGAGAGAGAGTTATAAAGGAGAGAGAGACAGATTACTCTTTTTATACCGGTTAGTGAACATGTGGACAAAGTCGCCGTTGAAGGCTAGTTACTAATATTATACCATTATTTGTTTTTACAGACACAGTAGTTCCGCAGAATGCGTCTCTGACACTGCAGATGGCGCCGGTGACGCGTAAGAAGGAGCGCGAGTACCTCGGCATGTTTGAATACAAGGTGCAAGATGAAGGCACCATTATAAAGAAACTCACCACTGGTGCGTATTGAGCGTATCATCAATAATCATCATATATATCATCATACATATGTATAATCATACATATTTTACCAGGAGGGAGACTTTTTTAATACCACTGAGGTGGCAAACAAGCATACCGCCCACCTGATGGCAAGTGGTTACCGTAGCCTATGAACACCTGCGATACCAGAGCTGTTACGCGCGCGTTGCCGACCCTGAAGAAACCTTTTTACCCCCCTTTCGAAGAAACCCATGCTGTAGTCTCTTGGGAAAACCTCGGCAGGGAGCTCATTCCACAACCTGAGTGTTCGTGGGAGGCAACATCTCTGAAACCGCGCAGTACGCGACTATTGAGGCTGTAGGACATGAGGATGAACTCCCTGTCGATTGCTTGTACCTCTGTCCCATTCGTGTTTCTACCGTGAAGCAGTTGTGTTTGCATGGCTGTGTTTCGGTTTGAAGGTGGGATATGGCAGTGAATTTACAGGGTACAGAGCAATAACACCTGAGTCCTCAGGAATGGCAACGCATGGCTGGTATCATGGGCGAAACAGTATACTCTGTTATGTCCATGGTACTGCTATATAGTCTATAGGCGACGGTTACCATTCTCCATCAGGTGGGCCGTCAGCTTGTTTGCCATTCTATGTTGTATAAAAAAAATCTAGTTTCTATGAAATACCGACTAATAGACTAATATACTACTTGTTTCTATTTCCAGATCTGAAGCCCAAAGTAGCGGTGACCCTCCTACCGGGTCTACCGGCTTACATAATTTTCATGATGCTGCGCCACATGGACCATGTGGACGACGAGCCCAAGATGCACCAAATGATGAAGGCGGTGAGGACTGGCGTCAAGAAGACCCTGAAGAGACGGGCCGACAGCGTCGAGTATAATGCTCTCTGGTTGGCCAATATGCTCAGGTTGGTACTTTTTTTATCGGCTACTAGGCATGGGTGGGGGAGGGATTGTTAATTGTAATTGTAAAAATCTTTATTGTACATAACTCAGATTAAACACTGGTAAATGATTTAATATACAATGGCGGACTTATCCCATAAAGGGATCTCTTACAGTCAACCTTTGAGAAGCTGAAAGAAAACTGTAGAATATATAAGGGTAATAACCGTACAATTAAACTAAATAATACCCAGTAAACAATTGAAGATATAATACAATAAAAACAACTCTATATACCTACGTATGTAAATAATAAAAGTACATGAATAATAATATAACATTAATACATAAATAAATAAACTTATACACATACACACACACACACACACATATATATATATATATATATATATATATATATATATATATATATATATATATATATATATATATATATACATACATACATACATGTATACATAACAAATACATATATTCACAATTAGCTCAATGAAGAGGGATTTTCAGAATAAAATTTTATGATACCTGCTTTAAAAGATCTCAGCGATTGTGCCATCTTTAAGTTATTAAGAAGTGAATTCCAGAGACGTGCAGCATGTACAGTAAATGACATGGCATAGCTTTGAGTATTAAAACAAGGCAAATCTATAATGAAGTCATTACTGCATCTCAGGCGAACATTAATTTCGCGAAATTTGAATCTTTCCTGAAGGTAATGTGGACATGTTGGATTAAAAAGGATATTGAAAAGAAGAGTAAGAATGTGGACATTTCTCCGTAGCCTGATAGGAAGCCACTTGAGTTGACTGCGATAACTAGATATGTGGCCATACTTTTGAAGGTTATAGATGATAGTTATAGATAATAATGGAGACTAAGGACCCCATTGCTAGCAATATACTCAAACAGGTCAACCTTCACGTGGTCCCCCCTGAAAACCATCGTGCTGAATTCCATCTGTATTGAACACGATGGGCTAACTGACCTGCCTTTTCATTCTCATCTATCATGTCTCACTGGTGCCCCGCCAGCGTATACCGATAGCGCAGATGGGGTTACTATTTCATCATCACCAATAAAAAAAACTAGACATGGGTAATATGGATTTCGCAGTGGAGAAGGGATTTTTAATAGATAGATAGACACTATTGTTTCCTCCAAAAGATTACAATAGTAAACCTATTATAAATATAAATAATTACAAGAAATAATCACAGTGAGAAAACAATGGGCGACCTTATCGCTAAGAGCGATCTCTTGCAGACAATCTTTGGATGGAGAGGAGTAATTATAAACAGTTTGATTGGAGTACCGTGGAGGACCCGTAACCATTGTTTGATTTTACATACATAATGGCCAAGTGATTGGTAGCAGCGTCCCTCTTAAAACATAGTCTAACTGCGGCTGCCAACCCGCTCGCCAAGTGTGGCAACTACTGGCAATACCCCCACAGGTGGAGAAGTTTAATAAATAAATTAATATTTCTATAGATTATTGAATAGTCTGCGTCAGTACAGCGGTGACACAGTATAGACAGATAGATAGATACCTACACTTTATTGTTTCCTCCAAAAGATTACAACAGTAAACTTTTACAAATAAACAATTACAAGAAATAATTGCAGTTAGAAAACAATAGAATAGAATAGAATAGAAATCATTTATTCAAATAAACTTACATTGAAGCACTTTTGAAAAGTCATTACATTTTTTTTAATTTACCGCTCGTTCGGAAAGCTGTCTCATCACAAGAAGAACGAGCAAGAAACTTGCGTGATGCTCTTTTAAATAATTTTATTATTATTTTACATTTTTAAGTTTAATTGTGTGAATACAAACCACCAATTAGCACTAATTCAATTAAATACTCAAAAAAAAAAAAAATTGAATACATAACCAACTGGTTAAACAATTAATAAGAGGAAATCAGTCATAGTGATTAGAGCAGACCAGTCTACAAGCAGCACCCGTTCACAGTATGACGGATACCAGCCATACTGCGCTCGACCATAAGGGAGCCCAATGCGGCCCACCACGCCGCCACAAGTCTGGACATTTTAGTGAGAATGACTACTCAAAACACTAGACCACGTCAAAGCTACTCACAATTGCCATCTGATAGTTATAGTATTCACATTTTACATAAGAATGCATGCGGCAATTAATACAAAAAACCGCTACGCTTTCATATTTCTAAAATTAATCAATTAAATCAAGAAAGCAATGAGAAAAAAAAAATTATAACGTTGTATGCTAATAAACTAATTATTTACTTGATATGTTGTCATCTATGAATTCGTCTATCCTGTAATAGGCTTTCTTACATAAAAATTGTTTAATATAAGATTTGAATTGCCTCTCTGTCAGATTTAATGCAGATTCCGGCAGTTTATTATAAAATCTTATGCAATTACCATAGAATGAATTACTGATTTTGTGCAGACGACATTTATAAAATCTTATTTATATAGTTTCTACTTGTACAGTCTTTGAGTTTTTTAAAACTCGCTAAGTTCTTCCGTGTATACATAATATTTTCATAAATGTATTGTGAAGTAACTGTGAGGATATTTGAGTCTTTAAAGTACTGACGTAATGACTCTCTTGAACCCATACCATAAATAGAACGTATGGCTCTCTTTTGTAAAACAAATATAGTATTTATATACAGCAGTATGCCATAAGACATTATGCTATGGAAATATCGCCACGTCTGTTAATTGCCTAATTCTTCTAATTGCATATGCAGCAGAACTGAGTCTACTGGCCAATTTTGAAATATGGGGCCCCCATTGTAATTTCGAGTCCACTGTTATACCTAAAAAAAACTGTATCATTAACAAAATTTACTATTTCGTCATTAAGCAATAACTGTGTATTTATTAGTCTTACATTAGGAAGTGTAAATTTTATACACTTTGTTTTGCTGGAATTTAATAATAGGTTATTACATGTAAACCAATTTAATATTGCAGACATAGCACAATTTACATCGTCTAATTGATTACTTTGACGTCCAATTTTAAACACTAACGAAGTATCATCCGCAAACAGCACTATATCTGCAATTTTCTCTACCATAAAGGGAAGGTCATTTATGTAGATTAAAAAGAGAAAGGGGCCTAAGATTGACCCTTGTGGAACGCCCATCTTAATATTAGCTCCCTTAGATTTTACACCGTCAATATCTACAGTTTGAACCCTATCCTCTAAATAAGTTCTCATTAATTTTAGATCATTATCTCTTATACCATAATGTTCGAGCTTGTACAAAAGCGTTTTATGATCCACACAATCAAATGCCTTTGATAGGTTTGCATCCTGTGACCTCTCCCAAGATTCGAAAATATGTGTCATTAGCGCAACACCTGCGTCAGTGGTAGACTTGCCGGCGGTGAAACCATATTGCTGACTGTGAAGCAGTCCGTTAACCCTGAAGTGATGTAACATTTGATTTAACATTATCTTTTCAAACACCTTACTTAGAACTGGCAAAATAGATATAGGTCTATAGTTCCCTGGCTCAAATTTATCTCCTGATTTAAATAGTGGGATTAATTTGCTAAATTTCATTAAATGTGGAAAAACGCCATTATCAATACATTTATTAAAAATAGTGGCTAGATATGGAGCAACAATATCTATGAAAGAACTAACTACTTTTACAGACATGCCCCAAAGGTCTTCCGTATTTTTTAAATTTAGCTGTTTGAATATTTTTATGATATGAAAGGGGCTAACATGTGAAAATTTAAATCTTAAAGAACAACAACCGATATTAGTCTCTAGTAATTTTTTGCTCGAGATTGAGATGAGTCCAGAGAAGATGTAATATCAATCGGAATATTAGCAAAAAAATCTTCAAAAATATTAACTACATCTTTTGTTGTTGTTATTAATTTATTATCATAATTTAATGTAAATTGATTACAGGCTATTTTAGATCTTCCAGTTTCTTTATTTATAATGCTCCAGATGGTTTTAATTTTGTCAGAAGACTGCTTAATTTGTTTATTAAAATAATTAGACTTAGCCATAATACAAACTTTTTTAAAAATTTTAGAATAATTTTTTACATAAGTGGTGAATTTGTCATCAAATCGATATTTTTTTTTGATCGTATAAATCAAACAAAATATTTCTACTTTTAAGTATTCCTACTGTTGCCCATTCCGTGAATTTAGATTTAACATGAACTTCTTTTTTCTTGAAAAATTGTTCATATTCTCCGGATAAAATATTAATTAGCTTGGTGTAAAGATAATCAGGATTATTACTAGATTGTAACAGCAAATCCAATTTATTTTTAATCGCGCTTTTGTATTTATTAATATTGTAAACGTTTATTTGTCTTTTTGATTTTTTATTATTGTTGACTTTATTGATTTGACTGCTAAACTTAACAACTTGACCACAGTGATCTGAAGGAAGTTTATTTATTATGAATTTTTCTGTATACTCGCAGTTACAAAAAACATTGTCAAGACAAGTAGCAGACGTGGCAGTTACACGAGTGGGTTCATGAAAGACATGACATAAATCAAATGACTGAAATAAACTAATAATTTTTGTACATGTGGGTGTGTTACAAAGAATATCAACGTTAAAATCTCCACATACAATAATTTTTTTAATACTATTAAATACTTTTTTTAAAATATCCTCCATCACCCCTTCAAAAACATTGTAATCACTATTAGGAGGCCTGTACACACATATAAGGATATAATTTTCTAGTTCTATACAAGATAATTCTATACAACACTCAATAGAAAGTCTAACAATGTCAGCACGTTCCTTTACTTTAATATTATTTCTTGCAATTATCATAGACCCGCCTCTGTTAACTGACTTTCTATTGAAGCAGCTGACAACGTTATAATTATTTAAATTGAACATCATATTGCTTTCTTTAAGCCAATGTTCTGTGAAACAGACAATATCAATATTATACTTTTCTAAAAATAATTGTATAATTAACTCGCTGCCGGGAAAACTTTGTATGTTCTGATGAACAATTATTAATTCTGATTGCTTTCCCTTTGTCTTTGTGAGCAGTTTAAATCTGCAGTCATAGTACTTATGTCACAAATATTAATAGAATTATCTGTTATGTCAGCATTTTTATGTTTAAGTTTACCATGTAAACTGTTCATGTAGTCAATATTATAAGCCACTAAAGTGGCTATTTTATTTTTAGATGATTTAGAAAGATACATTGTATCTTTTGTCAAATAAAAATCACTAATAAAACTATTAGTATCAAAAAATGTCAAAATGTCACTATGACGACATGTCAATGTATGTAATAAGTTATTCAGGTAATGTACCTTACTGTTAATTTTTTTATGAAGATGTCTATTTGTGTAAGGAAAAGCGCACAATACAATCTTATACACATTTAATTGTAATAAATATTCAATTCCTTTAATTACATCCTGTCTATTTAATTGAATACTATTACCAAAAAATAACACAATTGTGGTCATATTGTTCATTTTCGTAGATGGGCGACCTTATCGCTAAAAGCTATCTCTTCCAGGCATACCAGTATACCAAAGGGTTCCAGAAAATTTTAGGTGGACACGAAGGCACGCCCTCCCTCCCCCCTCTTAAATAGGCCTATAGCAATGTTTACTACTTTCCTTTCATTATATCTTTAATAAATACAATTTATATTTTGGCAGATTATTGAACAACCTGCGGCAGTACAGCGGCGACACAGTATATCAGAGTGCGAACACTCCTCGCCAGAATCAACAGTGCCTGAGGATTTTCGATCTGTCAGAGTATAGACAGGTCCTCAGTGACATTTCTGTGTGGATATACCAAGGTTTGAAACTTTTCACATTTTTTTTTATACCACGAAGGTGCCACTCAAGCATACAGCCTGTCTGATGGTAAACGGTCACTGTAGCCTATGGACGCCTGCAACGTTATAATTTGCTTGTGTGCCCAATTTCTTTTTTTTTAATGCAACTTAGAATGGTAAACAAGCTGACGGCCCACTTAATGAAAAGTAACCGTCGCCTATAAACTTGAACAGTACCATGGACATAACAGTATACTGTTTCGCTCATGATACCCCCTATGCGTTGCCATTCCTGAGGACTCAGGTGTTATTCCTCTGTACTCAGTAAATTCACGCCATATCCCACCCTTCAAACCGAAACACAGCCATGCAAACACAACTGCTTCACGGTTGAAACACGAATTTAAATTCAAATCAATTAAGTGATTTTTGCGTAAAAAAGTAACAAGTATTCATCCCTCCATACATCCTTTGAAAATTTCACATTTACAATAATCATCATTACCATTATCAGCGGTTAACTGTTCATTGCTGAACATATTCCTGCCCCTTGGGTTTTGCTAGTAGTTGCCACGTTTGGCAAGCTTAAATTCCCGTCGCCTCTAACTACACCTAAAAGAAATAAGTAAAAATATTTTTCAGACAGTAAGTATTTTTATACTCCTTTTTTTTTCTCCTATAAGCAACTTTTCCCAATAAGATATTTCTTTTTATTGAAATTGGTGCAAACGAGTTGCGAGGACTTAATGATAAATTCCACCTCCAGGTCTAATTCACCTCCTCGAGCGGCAACTAGAGCGGCTCATCATCCCAGCCATCCTGGAGCACGAGGAGATCAGCGGCCTGTCCGGCCCCACTCGCCCCTCGCCCTCGCCCCCGTCGGCGGCGGGACCTGCGCGGCTCAAACAGGAGCTGGCCACCACACACGAGCATCTACAGACCTTCGCCGTCGACCAACCTCTCAGGGTTATGATATTTAAACAGGTCAGTTTTACCACAAAAGTCGCCTGCATGATCACGTGGTAACCGTCGCCTATAGACATGAGCAATATACCTTGTTAAGTCGATTTCCACTTGGTCTTCCCTGGAAACCATCGTGCTGAATTTCTGTTAGTAATGGAGATTAAGAATCCCATTGTTTATATTGCAGCAAAACACCCAGACAGGTCGACCTTCACGCGGTTTCCCTTGGAAACTTATGGTTAATTGATGAATTCATCATGATGGACTAACTGGCCTGTTTTCATTCTCATCTATCACCCTTCACTGGTGCTACGCCAGCGTATTCCGTTAGAGCAGGCGGGGTTACCATACCATTTTCACCCATCAAAAAAAACACCCATTAAAGAAAAAAAAATAGGTAATTTGTATCTATAACGGCGTCGCGTTAAGTTCTAATCGTTAAACTTAATAATTACACATTTTAAAACAATTCGAAAGTTAAAATTTAACTATAACTTCGCAGTTATTCTACTACATCTGCGCGTACAGTCTGAATCAGCTGCTGCTCCGTAAGGACCTGTGCTGCTGGGCCAAGGGACTGCAGATCAGGTACAACATCTCGCATCTGGAGACCTGGATCAAGGAGCATCTCGCCGAGTATGGACAGAAGAACGTGAGTACCTCGCATGTTTAATGTCCTATAAATTGTATATCCAGGTTGTTTACAAGCATTTTTAAATCAAGTTATTTAAATCTCTGTTAACATTATGTGTATTTATTTAAATGTACTATGTCTAAAATTACATGATCGTTAGAAGCACGCACATGATCCACTAACACCATGCTAATTTGTTATATATTAAATGTATGTGTATGTATATGTTTGTTATATATTAAATAAAAATGTATGTGTACTGTGCATATTATGAGTATTATTGTTATATGTGTATTTTCTAATACACATACAATAAAATACACTAATAAAGTAAAAATATTTATTCAAATAGACTTGTGACGATTCTACTGCTGGAGTAGTTTACTGAGAATAACTCTCAAGAGCCTTTTACTTTTTTTTTTAATTTACTCATATATAAGATAATTTTACAATTGTATGAATGTGTACTGTGTATTGTTAGCATTGATTTATATTTGTATGTGTTTTTTATGTGAATTTTCACAATCACTTAAAACTGGTAAACGTGAGCAGACCAGTCCATAAAAGCAGCATCCGTTCACGGGTATGACGCATGTATGACACTCCTCAGGTGGAGGAGATCCTGGGCGTGCTGAAGCCGATCACGCAGGCGGTGCAGCTGCTCCAGGCGCGCAAGTCAATGGCTGACGTCCAGAGTACAGTGGAGATGTGCGCTGACCTCACAGCCATGCAAGTCTGCAAGGTGAGCCAGCAATAATAAATATCCAGGTAGAATTTATATTGACTAGAAGGAGACTTTGCCGTGTGGTCCCGTCATAGAATGGGCTTCTTCCCCCTACTTTTCCTGTGGCTATAGTAAGAGGCGACTAAGAGAACTTAAGATTCGAAGTATGGACAGCAACGTTCCTTTTAAAACATCACCAAAGCCTAACTACGGTTGCCACTAGCAAAACCCCACAATAGGGAAAGGCCTCTGTCCAGCAGTGGACAGTTGGTGACAGTGGCTGATGTGATAATGATGAGATGAAGACTTTGTACAGAAGTCTTTTGCATGTATAGCTCTGCCATTCTCGTTTCTGTCAAGCAGCTGTACTCGCAGGTCTGTGTTTCAGCTTAAAGTATGGAATCTTCTTCTCAAGGTGCCATCCTCTACTGCAGCCTTTCCCAAAGTAGGCGATCACGCCTCCTTGTGAACGCTGCAGGCCTAAAGGAGGGCGGGAAGAGACCCAGATAAAAATGGAGGCGTTGTGTAGAGGCTTGCGGGGTGATTTGTTGATCTTGAAGTAATAGTGGTTTTTAAGTAGGTGAAAAAATGGGGGCGCTAAAAAATAATTTATTCTCAAAGTGGGCAGTAGACACAATAAGTTTGGGGACCTCTGCTCTACCGGAGGTTAGAGATCGTCAAAGAGACTTTACTTGACTTAAGTCAAGGGAGACTTTGTACAAAAGTCGTTTGCTTGGCCACCTCTATCCCATTCGTGTTTCAACCGTGAAGCAGTTGTGTTTGCATGGCTGCGTTTCGGTTTGAAGGGTGGGATATGGCGTGAATTTACTGGGTACAAAGGAATAACATCTGTCCTCAGGAATGGCAACGCAAAGGGGGTATCATGGGCGAAACAGTATACTCTGTTATGTCCATGGCACTGCTCGTGTCTATAGGCGACGGTTACCATTTTCCATCAGGTGGGCCGTCAGCTTGTTTGCCATTCTAAGTTGTATAAAAAAAGTGTTGTCCAGTGGCCATGGTGGAAAGTTCCCAACTATAATAATGATCTAATAATTAAATAATGATCCTCGTGTCCTCAGATCCTGAACATGTACACGCCAGCTGAGGAGTATGAGGTGAAGGTGACCCGCGAGTTCATTCACGAAATACAGAAGAAGATGCAGGAGAAGGCCGGGCCCAACGCCGACAAGGAACCGGTGAGGACGCCTCGGGGTCACTTCTTTTATTTAGATATAGTTACTGCATACAAAAACTTATATATTTTAAGATATAAATTACCATTCATACTCTAATACATATTTCACACATCACAGATCCACTTACGCACACACACGCACATACTACATATGTATATGCAAATACACATACACGGATACACAGATACGCACGCACGCACGCACACGCACGCGCACATTTAAATCATTTACATTTTAAAAAATACTACAAGTAATAATAGAAAGGAAAAAATGTTGGGACACTTGATACGACACGACGAACTTGTGAACGTTATAATAGAAGGTAAGATAGAAGGAAGGAGGGGAAGAGGGAGACCGAGGCATAGTTACATCAGGCAGATCAAGGAAGGAGTTGGTGTCGTGTCTTATCAAGAGGTGAAGAGACTCGCTGAAAATCGTAGTGAGTGGCAAGAGCTCCACCGACAAGAGTACAGCTCTTAAATGGGATAGATAGATAGATAGAAGTAATGCGGAATTGTAGGGCTTTAAAGGGTGTTTAAAGCTTTTTATTTTGTCAATTTTCAAAGAATATTAGATAATAATAATGTTAACAATACCAGAGGGAGACTTTGTACAAAAGTCGTTTACTTGGCCACCTCTGTCCTATTCATGTTTCAACCGTGAAGCAGTTGTGTTTGCATGGCTGTGTTTCGGTTTGAAGGGTGGGATATGGTGTGAATTTACAGGGTACAGAGAGGAATAACACCTGAGTCCTCAGGAATGGCAACGCATGGGGGGTATCATGAGCGAAACAGTATACTCTGTTATGTCCACGGTACTGCTCATGTCTATAGGCGACGGTTACCACTTTCCATCAGGTGGACCGTCAGCTTGTTTGCCATTCTAAGTTGTATATAAAAAAAGACAATAACAACAATATTTGTTTGCAGCAAAACCTGCTAATGGACTCCAAGATGATATTCTCCGTGCAGTTTCCGTTCAATCCGTCTCCGATCCGGTTGGAAGCGATCGAGCTGCCCGAAGTGTTAGAACTGGACGGTCTACTAACGAAAATATAAGTTACGTTTATATTTCATTATTCTGTCATGACATTTTTTTTTTTTTCTTTTTTTTTTTTTAAGTGACTACCGCCGCCCATGATCACCCACAACACCTACGGCATTGCAGGTGTGCTGCCGGCCTTTTAAAAAGGAATATGCTCTTTTCTTGAAGGTTATACATTACAGCTTTACGTTATACAGATAGAGCGTCGAGCCTCAAAAATTAGCTGACTCGTGTTTTTTTATTAGTATTCTATGTATTTACGTATAAAATGTATCTTGACGTATTATTTAATAAATAAAATGAGCGTTTACGCATTAAAATGATGCAGAATTTATAATACATAATAAATATAGAAGTTATAAAGGAATCACTCACAACTAGGTGTTTATTAAGCAAAATTATATAAAAAACTTGAGCCGTTTCTCTCGAAGTATTTCTATAAAGACACTCTATCTATATAATCTAAGGTTGTCAATGATTTTTTAAAAAGATACGTTACGCGTTCGGAAATCAATTAAAAAAAAAAAGTATTCCGAACACCTTGATAGGCTTGTCAAATAATTGACAAAGGACGGAGCGTTTAAAACAATAAAACTAAGATGGCCAGTGTTTGTCATTTACGTGGCAATGTGTGCAAATGTTGCAATAAGGGCTGATTAGCGCCATCTCGTGGTCATTTTCGGTGCGCTTGTTGTTATCTAGATTTTTTTCTTTTATAATATTAGTTCTAGTTGGTCGACGTTGTAACTTTGCTGAAATATATGTTTCGTGTTAGGCCCAGTGATCGTGCAATCACGAATGATGATAAATTAATCATTCCGCAGTTATTATTGTACATAACTAGGGCTGCCATCCGTCCGGAATTCCCCGGATTTGTCCTAGTTTGGAGGGCGTCCGGGGGTCGTCCGGTAGGGGTTTTTGTAGTGTTTTTTGTTGTAGGGGATCCAATTTTTTTTATAGGTAGACGATCAATTGAAATAAATCTTAGTTACAAATTCATCCACACAGTGTTTTTATTTTTGTTACAAAAAATATTTTTTCAGTAGTGTCCGGGGAAAAATCCATATTTCGCCCAAATGTCCGGGATTTTAGCCCTGTTTGTCCGGTGTCGGCAATTTAGGCGATGGCAGCCCTATACATAACCCCAAAAGTTGGAAAGTACATGGATTGTTGGAATAGTATAGTATAGTATGGAATGAGCTCCCTGCCGAGGTTTTCCCAAGAGATTACAGCATGGGGTTCTTCAAAAGGGGGGTAAACAGGTTTCTTTAGGGTCGGCAATGCGCGCGTAATATCTCTGGTATTGCAGGCGTTCATAGGCTACGGTAACCGCTTACCATCAGATGGGCCGTATCCTTGTTTGCCACCTCAGTGGTATAAAAAAAAAAAATAGTAGAATGTAATTGAATTCAACCTCACGTCTTAGAACCAGAATGGTTACGCACAGTGCAGTTTCAGAGGAGCTTCCTCCACTTAGAACCCTCAGGTCGTGGCATAATCTTCCTGCCGTGGCTTTCCCTAGAGACTGTAGCGTGGGGTTCTTCAAAAAAGCGTATTAAGGTTTTCTTAAGTTCCCTGGTGTTACAGGCGTTTATTAGCTACGGTAATTTCGTTTACCATCAGGCAGGGCGTATGCTTAAAAAATTACTAAGTGATTTATTGGCACAAACATATTTTCGGTATTTTATCACGATTCATGTCATGCCCCCAATTAACGTTAATCAAAGTGACATAGCATTGTTATTACGCCATATTTGTTTTGTATTGAAAGTATTTAATTTGTTATGTGTTAGAAAACGAAGCAAATTTATAAGAAGAAATATGCTTGATTCAGCTATGTTCGGGATTAGCGTTTATATCTTGGGGCCTACCATGAAATTAAATTCCGAAATTTCGGGCTGAATTTCGTGTTTTTGTTTGTACCTAAATCGACCCAGTAAATGGAGCTTAACGTTTTATCCATCATAAATCCTATCCTAATAGTCCAGAGGAACGATATTTTAATATTTTTAATAATTTTAAACGGTATGTATTATGTAATTTTAACATAAAATTTTTTGTTTCGTTCGTCCCCGAAATTTCGGAAAATATTTCATGGTAGGCCCTCTGTATAGTGTACATTGATTGGGCCCACGCTTCATATTGTATTGAAACATCTTTACAAATCGCTCAGTTACTTGACGTTTTTAGTGTTAATGTTGGTTTAAAATAAAAAAAAAAACAAATGTTACAGTTTAACACTGTAACTTATTAATGGTTATTCACAATTTCTCCATACAATCCAAGCTTCCATTCATTCCATACATCCAAAGTGTGAGTCTTTGAGATTAATGCATATAATATATTATTTATATTTTTTTTATCAACAATATATAAAAACAAATCAATGTTCAAATAAACATTCCATTATAAATGCCATAATGTAATTTAATTATATTTATATATATAAAAAAAATTGTTTGCCAAGTGCCATTATTTGTTATGAACTATATAAATTGGTTAAGTTTATGAAACAGTATTTTTTCTATTAGTTTATTATTGGAATTTATACAATTTATTTTATTACTATTCGTGTGAGGGTGGCGCCCTCTAGTGTCAAGTGTTTCCAGGCCGCCTTTGTTGTATACGAAGGTCTGTGACGTGACTTACCGGACGACTGTTTGAGAGTAAGTGACAATTATTTTTAAACGATCTAAACATGAGGTTTAAGCCAGGATTCGATCCTGGAATTCTGTAGTCGAGCGTTGTCCGACTGAGTTGTCATCGAATACAAAAGAATAAATATTGTAATTTTTAGGAGTATACTAAATCTTTTAAATTATGTTTATATAAAATATTAAAGTAGTGTATCAAGTTATTTACTAGTTTTTTCTCGCGGTTTCGCATGCCTGAATCCACTACTGGAACATTAGAAATATTGATACTGTTCGAAAAGATAGTAGAAAAAGAGAACCACAGAGAAAATAAAAGGCGGTCTTATGGAAGAATAATGGTATAATTATTATTATTTTCACAGGAAATATACTCTCATATTTATAAAAAACCGTCGCTTATAAATGTGAATGGCATAACGTGAAATCAGAAGATATACTGTGCCGCCAATGGCACTTTTCGTGCGTTGCCATGAACGTTTGGGAATAGTTTGAGAATCAACGAATTTGCTCTCGGTTTCACAATAGGTGATAGGAAATAATATACAGGTGTAATTGAAATCGTCAGCGTCCTTTCAAGGGAGTGTTATTTATTTCTTAACACTTTAAAAGTATATATATACGTGTACAAAAGACGGTCTTTACGCTAAAGCCCAGACAACATTTGTTGTTTGATGTTAAGTTACCCCCCTTATCCATAACAATGTCAAATCTCTCAATAGCTAAAATAGTTAGCTATTGAACTGTTTCGTCTCTTTCTTTTATACAAAACTCCCGATTTGAATGAAAGTGACAAAACAGTTTAATAGTTTCAACAGATTTGTACAAGGTTTTAGTTTTTATAAATAATCGGGGTTAGTATGGGAGACTCAAATATTTTGTCGATTTTGAGGAGTTTCTCAATTTGCTTGTATTTTTTTTGTGTGTGTTGTTACCTCATAACTCCGTCGTTTATTAATCAATTTTGAAAAGTTTTTATTTGAGAGGATATACTTTCATAATGGTCCTATAGAAATTTTATCAAAATCGGTTCAGTAGATTAGTTTTTAGATTAAAAGGGTTTTTTGTGGAAAAAATTTACTTGTTGATTCGCGTGACTGTCCAAATAATCGTATATAGTGTAGATAGATTCTTAATTATACTCACTGCTAACGATTTTGATTACACCCTGTATAAATGATTGTGTTCCATTTTACGCATAATTCACTACAGCTAGCTTTAGACTGTGTAATTTCTTTAGTAGTATTATTTATTAAAATTAATTTCTAAATTGTTTACAAATCAATACATCGATTGAGTTTTTTGTTGTTTCAAAGGAATATGGCTAGAAAGCATAATGTTATACTTATTACTATACATACGTTATACTCAGACTCGTGAATAAAGATATTAATGCATTATATTAATTTATACCAATTTATATTTTTTAAATTCAATAGTTGATTTCAATATTTTATATAATTATATATATAAATTTAATACAAACCAATTATTGAATGAGTCATCATTTGTTTAATTCCGCCATTATTATCGGGCCCGCCATTAATTATGGCGGAATTAAACAAATTAATATAATTTATTATTTCGAATTTTTCCTAAATTTGTTGCATTTCTTTTTGTAATATGTATATATTGTTATTAAAATGTGTTGTACCTGTTTTTTTTTTTTTATTATAAATTACAGGAATATCGCTGAGTATTATTTTTAAGTTTATTTGATGGTTGAATTAAACAAAATAATTTTGTATTTGTTTTAACGAAGTCTCGTATGTTTTTTTTTTTTATATATTTATTAGATATGACTGTTGTATACAGTTGGTTTTTGGTCAACTTTGAGTTTGATTACCAATTCTGTATTTGAAACATAACCTTATTTTAATGTGATCACTACTTGCCGATTGCCAATAGCAAATTAATCTTTATTGCCATATTTAATGTGTTCCAGCGAGTTTATTGTAATCTTTATAACCATGAATTATATACTAAAGAACAGATAGTAGAGTAGGAATCGCTCTATAATATTTTGTAAGTGTACTCAAAATAACAGTGAGATCACTTTAACCGACTTTGAAAACGAAGGTTCTATGTTCCACTGTATATTTATCTATGTAGGTATTAATGACTCAATTGTTTTATACAATGTAGTCTCTTTCAATACAATTTAATGAAAAGGGAACTGAATTATCTTGGAATTGTTACAGAAACATTCTCTAATTGTTAATAGTGACAAATCGTAAATCAATCAATCGATAAAATGTTTGCTCGTACTGCTATTGGATAGCCGACTGTGATATGGTCGGGTCATTTATTAGTTTCTGTACATTTTCATTAAATTTTGTTAATAATATAGTAATATTAGCCTTAGAAAATTTATTTGCTAGATCCTTATTATATAATTTATAACCTTGAAAACTTTATATAATTATCTAAAACCTCATTAAAACTTCATAATAACACTATAGAACCTAGATGTTCAATAAACAGTGACCGCGAAGTCTGGAGGCTTTTAATGAAATATAATAATAATAATTATATTACTTAGATAATTATATTTATTACTCTGTTATGAACAATATAAATCGATTCGTTGTTGTACAATTTAGTATTAATATCATTGATATATATAAAACAAATTATATATCAATGAATAATGTAAATGTTTGGAGTTTAAGATGCATAATTAGTTATTAGTGTTCCTTAGGTTGCTGTTCTTAAGCTAAATTCTTTAATGCATTCCATTCAATTTAATAGCTAAATATATACTATGTAAGAGATAATGTAATGTTAAATAAATATAAAGATATATATAGTGTTTAAATATATTCCAATTAAAATATTAATATTGATTAATTATATTTTTATTTAGTATGTATAATATTTAATTTCACTTCCCTTTATGGGGTATAAAATACGTGTAGATAAATTTATAGAGAAAACAATAATATAATTATATATATAATTATTTGCTCACTTAAAGTTTGTTCATCTGTTTATTAATATTTTTGTGCTATTTTTAGAAATATCTCGATTTATAGACCTCAAAGGTCGTGAGTTCAGTCTTTTACATTAGATTTCGAAAAACTCTTCGGTGGCGGAAAACACCGATGACTGACCAAATTAATCCGAGCATTGTTGGTAGGCTCGCCTCCGCCACGTTGGATTCTAATATACTTGGTGAAATGTGGCGTATCGAGTGTTAAGTTCACCACAACAGGAACAGTCGATAGGAGTCTGTTAATCATCCCATATGATATTACAGTCGTGAAGCGTATTTATTTATTTTACGTTTTTCTTGTATATTGTTATTTCAATTGGAATATTTTAAATATTGTGTGCAGTTGAAACAGTTACCATAATATAAAATGTTAGGTGCTTTACACGCTACGAAATAGCTCAGTACTTAATGTATTTTTCTAGGAAATATATAGTATTTGTACTTATAAACGGTAGGTACTTAATTTTTTTTTTTTTTTTGTATTAGTATAATTTATAAAATAGTTTGATGTAAAAGTAAAAATTCTATTTAATAGATGATAAATAATAAGAGATAATTTGAATCATGTAAGGGTTAAAATTCTAATAACATGTTGATTAACACGTTGACTGCCAACTGCGAGTTATCTCGTCCTATGTTTGTTTTGCTTTTTTTGTGCAGCTATGATTAAACTCGAAATATATATTTGCTAATACCGATAAATGACATCTGGGCAAAAAAGAATAAAAAATCAATGCTGGTTTGCATAAACAGAAAATTTATTAAAAAACGAATCAAAAATGTAATTAAAAAAAAATTCAATTTCAAGAAATAAAATGTTATTTTGATGTTTGTTTGTTCTTTTTTTTATGCTTTTTGATGATAACTATGCGTTGGAATTAAAGTTTTTAATAATATAATCTGTGATTGTCATTTTAGGTCAGATTTCTGAAAATTGCCATAGCAGTCAACGTATTAAAAAATATTTCTTAACATTGATTTCCGTTTTGTTAATTGATAAGTATTCATCAAATGTCATTAAACAAAAGTTTCACAGGTAACGATATTAAATATTGTTATTTCGGAAATTTTCTATTTACCATTTCATATTTAATATAATATTTTGACGTTAATTTTATATAAATATATAGTTAATTTGTTCAACTCCGCCATTACGTAGTTACGCCATGACGTTTGACGTCAAAATTATATATAAAAATATTATTTTCTATAATCAAGTATGGAGTTTTGTTTCCTCTTGTTGTTTTCCCAGGTAGCTTTAAATGTAGTATGTAATTACGCGTCAGTAATCAAACTAGATACCAATAATGGCGGAATTTGAATATTGAAATGGCGGAAATAAACAAATTAATACTTTAAATTGATTTATTATTAAATAATAATATACTTTTTGATTATGTGTCGTTAAATATGTATCGAAGTATAATTAGATATATAATTAGGTGCTCAAGATATATAAATTCCTGTTATATTCCCTGTTATATATTATATTCCAAATTATATATCCAATGTTATTTATATATAATAAAACGATATTAATTATGATTTTGTGAAAGAATGCAACGGTATAAGACTAGTGTTAGTATTTATTAATTACACCTCAAAAAAAATTCTTTCCTGAAAAAAAAAAAATGTGACCAAAAATGTTAAAATCTTCGAAAATAGAATAACCGGAACAGATTTGGGTTGTTCTTTTTTTGAAAATTTTATTTATTTTTCTTTTATGTTTTTTTTTTGCAACGATTTTTTTTTGAGATCCTATTAATGAATATTAGTTCTGAGAAATGGGTCACGTTAATCACCATTCTGTATAAATGTATGAATTATATTTAATATTATTTATGATAAATGTAAATTTTTGATCTCCATCGTTCGTTTCGTATGTTTGTACTTAAAAGCAATATAATCGCATATCTGTCTGTTTGTAATGAATACACATTGTTCTTGTGCAATTAATACACTCGCATGTATAAAATGTGAATTATTATATTTGTTTTTTTTTCTTTTTTAACCCTTAATAGCCTGATTTTTTAAATCAAATCAATAAATATATAAGTGTACCCTTTACTGTGTTTACTAATGGGGAAAAAATAGTAAAAAAAAAAATCAAAACGATATTTTTATATATTTATTTTGAAAAAAAAATTTGGTAACATGTAAACAGCCAAATATTAAAATAAAATCGATTGTAGGCGCCCAATGCGATTTATATAACCCCGGTATCAAATTTAAAACTTCAGGTATTTAAGGGTTAATTTTACCTCGTTCTATATTTTAGGTAGTTTAACTATATCACCATTTTAGCCATTTTCTGTCCACTGCTGGACATAAGCCTCCCCCATAGACTGCCATAAAGAACAATCCTGAGCCACCTGCGTTTTTTTTTTTTTTACAACACAGGGGGCAAACCGGCTCACCTGATGGTAAGTGACTGCCCATAATCACCCAAACAACGGCAATCCTTTTAAAAAGGAATATGCTCTTTTCTGCGTCTACTGGCTCCCTGCAATGCATTTCAGGTCGTCTCTCCATCTAGTGGGGGGTCGTTCTACACTGCGTTTACCCGTACGCGGTCGCCACTCAAGAACCTTTCTTGCCCATCAGTTGTCGGTTCTTCGAGTTATGTTTAAATGGAACTAATATAACCTGTCTTTATAAAACTTAATAATAAGGTTTTTTTTTCATAAAGATATTGCAGACTCTCTAAACACATTTAATCAATTGGATTTGCCAACCCGCTTGCCAAGCGTGGCAACTACTGGCAAAATCCCTTTAACCACGTAATCTTTTTTCCGCAACAATAAAACACATTGCTTTGACAACAAACAGCAGTACGAATATTTAGCCATCTAGCGAGACTGAGAAACAATATCAATCTAGCAAAACAAAAATCGCGGGATAACGACGTCGATAAACATAAAAAGTGCGAGCACGTCGAAATCGCGGGATGCGTACAATTAAACTAGTAGATACTGCACGCGGAAATCACGGGATGCCCGGTCAGAGGGTTAAGGGATGCTTATGTCCAGCAGTGGGCAGTTAATGATATAATAACGATGTTCTATAGTATGGCCACATATTTAATTTACCGCTAATGATGTTGATTACACCCTGTATACAGTTCTCTCCAATCACTTTCAAATAAGTGGCAAATGAGTCCGTTGAAACGGTATCATTAGCACTAGCATTCGAAACAAGACACCGGATGATGCTGTCCCTCTCTTAGTCGCGCACGCAGTAGCGACAACGTATCTATCGACGGAATCATTCGCCACGTGTCAAGGGGGACTTGTTTTGCAAATAGATTTCATTTGTATTAAATATCGTAAAATATACACTTTAATTAAGTCCTAATAAGACGGACGACTGTACGCGTTCTGTTTGTTCTGTAGGCTTTAAATGATTGCAGAAAAAAAAAAAATTAAATAATGTTAGCAAATGTCGTTTTATTTATATTTTTATTCTACCCGCTAACATTAAGTGTTCGAGCTTTCATCGACACAGAGCGGTCGGGTGGTCTCGGCTTCGGTCGGCTCTGTTCGCCACTTCGTGTCACGCAGTGGCGTAACAATAGGGTGGCAGGGCTGGCCAAATGCCACGGGCCCCCGACCCAAAAGGGCCTCGGCTTAAGAGGCCGCGAGCTCAGATTTTTTTATCTTGTACCTGAGTATTTTATTTTACTTGAAAATAAATGATAGGGCCCAATCAAAAGGATTTGTCACAGGCCCCAAATGGTATAGTTACGCCATTGGTGTCACGCCATCGACTGCACTGTACGCGTATCTTTATATTGTTGTGGTTAAATCGATCCAAGTTATGTAAAATAAATAAAAAAAAAATAAAGTCACTGAATGTGAATGTGAATAAGACTATTTTCCGCGCTTAGCCTTTCATTTGGGCCGTTGTGCGTATGAGTCGTAGCTAGTACAGCCAACCTAGCTCCGCCCAGAAGCGCAGAAGCTTCCTGAGTTCTTCACAGGCCTCACGGAGCGACCTCACCGTTCCGAGGAGTTCTAAACGTTGATGGGCTACAGGCTCCCATTCCAGGATTACGTGAGCAGCCGTTTTTTCGGCGTCGAAACAGCCTCGATATAGAGGGCTGTCTGTGGCTCCTATTGTGTATAGATGTTTGTTTAATGGACAATGGCCCGTTATTGTCCCTATCATTATTTTGAGGTATTTTCTATCTAGATGTAATAAAAAAAAAATGTCAGTTAACTACAACGAAAATTATAACAGATTTACAGGCCACTGTTTTATCATTAAACAGGCTTAAACAAATTGGTCCTTTGAGCCAGATTTTAAACACTTAGCTTGAAAGTCGTAAGATGAGTTACCTACAGAGATTTTTCCTAGAAACAGTGACCCTTATTACCGTTTTTGAAGAACCCAAAAAGTCTCAAGTATACGTGTTACTCCTGACTTCCTGGAAAGAGGCAGAAGGAATTGTTAAAACGGGCGCTAGTGTCCCCATTGCTAGCAATATAGCACCCTGTCAGGTGTACTTCCAAGTGGAAACAACTGCAACTGGAAACCATCGTGATTAATTCTTGAAATCGTCAACCTGGATCAATTAATCTGCTTTCATTCTCACCTATTATCCCTCAAGTACGGTCTCCCGTCAGTGCATTCCTATAGCGCAGACGGGTTTCCATTAATAAATAAATAAAAGCTTTTTTTTTATCAAAGCGAACTTAATTATAAGCATTTTTTTATACAACTTAGAATGGCAAACAAGCTGACGGCCCACCTGATGGAAAGTGATAACCGTCGCCTATAGACATGAGCAGTAGGTACCATAGACATAACAGAGTATACTGTTTCGCCCCTGATACCCCCCATGCGTTGCCATTCCTGTGGACTCGGGTGTTATTCCTCTGTACCTTGTCAACTCACGCCATATCCCACCCTTCAAACCGAAACACAGCCATGCAAACACAACTGCTTTACGGTTGAAACACGAATGGGACAGAGGTACCCAAGCAAACGACTTTTGTACAAAGTCTCCCTCTGATATATATATCTGGTATATTACTAACAATCCGTTCCTCCAAGATCTGGGATATAGGTATGTGAAGCAAATCTACGCTAAGGTATGTCACTTCGATCTTTTACCGTTTGTTATGATTAGTAATGAGTTATCCAGGCCACACAAGTATTTTAATTATCTATGAAAATTATTAAATAGATATGTAGATAAGTATGGAATTACGTACCTATTACGTTGCTATGAATAAGATATATATATATATATATATATATATATATATATATATATGATTGATGAATGTGGAAGAAGCGAAAGAGGTTTGTTTGAATCGAAGCATTTGGGGTTCCATTGTTTCTGCCTACCCTAATGGGAGACAGGCGTGACAGATATGTATATATATATATATATATATATATATATATATATATATATATATATATATATATATATATATATATATTATATACATATCTGTCACGCCTGTCTCCCATTAGGGTAGGCAGAAACAATGGAATTTTTTTTGAAATTTTTCACCAAAAAATCTGAAAACTAGAGTTTTCAAGCTTCAAAACCCTTTTTTAAAATTTCCTGTACGATTATTTTTCACTGAAATACAGCCTGTTGAAAATCACCCAAAAATTTCAAAAATTTTTATGTTCCCTTAATTTTTGCGAGGAGTGTATATATATATATATATATATATATATATATATATATATATATATATATATATATATATATATATATATATATATATATATATATATATATATATATATAACTCATGTCTATAGTCGACGGTTACTACTCTCCATCAGGTGGGCCATCAATTTGTTTGCCATTCTAAGTTGCATAAAATTATATAATTGTGAATATATAAATACATAAAACACAAAGTTATAAAACTATTAGGTATCAAAAGAAATAAGTATGCAAACCAGACAAGCAAATTTATATAAATATTTAAACATGTACAATTCGTTACGTACTAACCTACGTAGTGTAGTGTATAACCTAAGAACAAGGAGTTACATAGAAGGAATGATAAAATAAAAACTTTATCCTTTCTTCTTATGCAAATATAATTAATAAAAACAGGACGAAAGAAACGAAACTATTTTTCTCGATTCATAGCAGGCTAATGTATAGAAAATGTTTGATAAGTCCATTATTTGTCAATGACAAATTTTACATTACTAGATTATATATTCGACACAGTTTATGTAGAAAGTATGCAAGCAGGTTGTATCTGAATTTGGTAGGGTTATACGGCCGTATAACATTTTCTATACACTAGCCTGCTATAAATTGTCAATTTTATCACTCCGTCTGTGTAATTCCTTGTTCTTAGAGTATAACCGGCAGCCATGTTTTATTCACAGATTATATAATTCTAGATACGCGTAGTGTGTAGTTTTTGTTTTCTGACGTTATGAATGAATGATTACGCTATTGTTTGCTCGAATTCAAGTGATTAACTTTTTCATAGGTAGCACTTTTAATATTTACAGAGTATCACTGCGTTCAGCCTTTTACTGTACTAATATTTAATTGGATTAATGCTTAATTACAATATAATAAGTTAATTTACAGTCGGTAAATAACAATGTTAAGTTATCTGCAACTAGATAATGCAAAATTTCCTTTCTGCGTGCTGATATAGGATCGTGAGCAGTAAACGACGTTATAGGTAGTTTGTTGCAACAGAACAATAAAATGGTAACAAAGTTATACTGAAATTATCAGTGGAATATTCGCTAAATGATATTAGTTACAAATCGGAATGTTTTATCAAATGAACAATTTTTTATTTACTCTTTATTGCTTATGAAGTACAAAATGCAGACACCTCATTTTCGCCTCATTCTTACCTCGTTCTCGTCTCGTTCTCGTTTCGTTCTCATTTCATTTGCATTTCATGCCACGGTAAAATAACAAAAATAATATAAAAAGATTTAACTCAAACAAAAAATGTGTGAACACAAATACTCTGTGGT